AGCCTAGCCCAGAACATATGAACAGAATACTCTTCTCAGATGTGTCCTGAGTAGACATGAGATGTTTACACGTGGCAACTGAGGCTCAGTGTGACCGTCTAGCCCAATGTTACACCACCAGTTGTAAAATAGTGACCTAAACCTACTCCTTACTCAGGGCTCTGTTGATGCCCTGTTCTATGCCTCCAAACCTGAGTATGCTTTATCTAACATGGACTGGGTAACCCTTAAGGAGCAGGGTTCCAGTTAAGGTAGCAGAAGGTTCTAAACACTCTATAGATGCAAAGGGGCCAGGGCATGTTGGAATTAATACAGAAGGGTACACCTTGTCATCTCAGTGTCATGCCCTTGTCTTAAGGCACAGGCACTGGGCTAAAGAACTTGGGTCTGGTTCTGTATCAAGTCTGTTCTAAAACTGGCTCCTGGAGAGATGTCTGCAGGACACAGAAGACACACCGCCCCCCGCCACCGCCGCCCTTTCCAGGAGCTACTGTGACACAGAAATGACACCTAATCATAACCTCTTGTTTATCCTCTACCCCCTTCAAGCTTCTAGTAACCTCAAAGAAGCTGAAGAAGGGGTCCCTTTCCCATTTATCCCATTTCTAAAGGCAGGGTAGGATTAAGGCTTCCTACTCTGTAAGCAAAATGGCAGGACTAGATCTTAGGGAACCTGCAGCACTGTTTTATGAAGCTACACCCCCATTTTTACATTTAAGCTCACTTCTTCTAGGTCAGGACTGCAGAGGCAGGGCTGCTACCCAGACTGGCTGGACCTCCAAATAGGTTTCTAGGAACTACTAGCTAGGAGGAAGGGACACAGTGACAGAATTAGGGCAAGATAAGCCCGCATTAGGACTGGCCTACAGTAAGGCCTCTAAGTAGAAGATATGCCTTTAGGTAGAAACCCAAATGCCACCTTCATCTCTGCCCAAAGATGGTACTCAGACAATCAACCTCAGTGAATCAAACCTCAGGTTTTCAACCTATGGTCCCTTCCCAATTGCTGCAGCTCCATCACTGCCTGTCACCAAATTCCTCTGGGCTTCAGTTTCTGGTCTATAAAATCAGCCAGATGCTCTTGAGAAACTTCTTTGCAGAGCAGAAGTGTTAGAACCCCTTCCTTTCGCTGACACCATCCTTCATGTTCCCTCACCAAGCAGTCTCCAGGTGAGAAGGCTTGCATCGCACAGGTCACAGTGTGTAGGTTGCTGCTCCCTGAGGCTAGCAGGGCTGAGGTAGCATGGTACTCTAGCTGAATACTTCTCACCACACCCAGAAGGTCTAATCTAGGCCCTTAATCCAAGGGGGTGGGGTCAGGTAAACTAGCCAGCTGCTCTGACCCATCTCACCATGAGGTCTCCTGCTCAGAGCCTCACACATACACCTGGCCCTCCCTCTGCTGACTCCAGCCTAGCCTGTCTCAGGTCCCTGCTGGGCTCCTACTACACGATAGCACTCTTCTATTCCCTGTTTCCCACCAGGTCCCAGACCTGTTCCTAGGTCTGCCTATTTTCCTAGCCTCTGGCAGTTTCCCCCAATCTTCCCAGCAGAGCTCACCAGCAGCTACTCCCTCCTTAAACCTCCTCCCCAACCCTCCACAGAGGGGCAGTCCAGTCCCAAGCTATCCCCACACCTGATCCAGACTGCCCTTATATTCATGAACAGCCCTATCCCAGCCAGCTCTCTCCTAAAGCCTTGGACTCCTAAGGTAAAAGGTAAACATGGTAAGTTCTTTCACAGCAAGATACTGAGTGTTACAGACTTTAAGAAAAGGCCAAGGATGAGAAGCTTTGCTCAAAGGAGTGAATAGTTATTGTGTACGGTTAGGATGCCTAAATGAGGGATGTGTATAGTGCTCTCCTGTGCTCCCTGTAAAGGCATCCTATGAAAACAGTCCTAGGAGAGTCAGAGCCTAAGACAGATTCTTATTCCCCAAAGCAGAAAATAAAACAGGACTCATCTTTATCTCCCATCTGGCAGGTTAGAAAGAGGCCGGAAGACTTGGAGCATAACTCAGTGTAGGGCTCTTACCTAGCCCTAGCCCACAAAAGGCCATGGGCTGCATCCCCAGCATTACAACAACAAAGCCCAACAGCCACCCTCCCTAATGACCATGTCCTCACTGCAGTAGCTCGCAGACAGGTGGGCAAAACTGTACCCTTCCCATCCCAGGCGGAGTTCAGACAGGCCACTGTTGTATTCATAATCAGCTGTGTTCCTAAACCCGAGTCTGCACCAGCACCACCTGGAGGTGAAACCAGAATGTTTCTTATCAGTGAGTGGAGTAGGAGTCTGAGGCTGCATTTTTTTTCTTGGAGGTACTGGTGTTTGAACCCCATGGCCTCAAGCTTGCTAGGCAGGCTGCCAGCCCTGAAGCTGCATTTCTAATGAGCTCAGAGGTGATGCTAACACTGCACTGGACCTTGTTATCTCTATCTACCTATCTCAGTATCTTCCTCTCCCTCTCCGACCCCCTTTCTCTCTCACACACACACCTCTGTCTCTTCTCCCCTCTCCTGCTTTTTTTTTTTTAAACCCCACCTGGGTTTGTAATCTTTCTTAAATCATATTTCTTATTCCCCTCTGTGTGCTAGGCACTTTATCTATCTTGTCTGTACTTACCCCAACAATGCAAGGAAATATCCCTGAGGCTTGCAGGCATAGGCTTTCAACCTAAACCTAATTTGAAAGTCTGGGCTCTTAACCTCTGAGTGATTCTGCCTTAAAAACTGAAAACGGGATGAGTGTGGTACTGCATGCCTATAATCCCAGTACTTCAGAGGCTGAGTATGAGGCCAGCCTGGACTCCATAGCAAAGACTCTGTCTTAAAACACTAAACAAACAACCCCAAAAAACGATAGCTTAGGCTGTCAGAATGAAGTAAGGGAGGGAAGGAAAGATGCTGAGGGAGGGGAGGGAGGAAGGAAATCTCAAGGTGGTCAAGTTAGTAATACTGTTTTCTTAGAAGGAGGAAGCCAATGCTTGCTTCTAACTCTAGATTCTACCAGACAACTATGTTTAAAAAACAGCAATTTTCTAAATTAAGAAACACAAAAGCTCTTGACTGCTAATCTCAGCTGGAAAAAAACCTCTAGTCTGGGAAGAAGGTAGACAGCACTGTGTCACTGTGTGTCGTGGTCCCCCCAAACCCTCTGCCCCGGCATTTCATCTTTTCCTGAGCCCAGGCTCTCAATCCTGACTGTGAGCCCACAGTTAGGCCTTTACTATGCTGTTCACTGCTGTATTCCCACTAACAAGCCTCATTCTTAGCACAGGTGTACAAAAGGTGTTACATGAATCAACATATCCCATCATGCATGCAGTGTTCAGGGGTACTCCACCGGCTACCGGGATCCTTGTATATATAAGTAAGGGTCCTATTTGAAGCTGGAGAACTAGAGTGAAATCAAGAGACTGGGAAATTCACTTCTTAAAACTTACTTTAATATCCTTTCTCCCCCATACACCTTGTTGGCAAAGGCCTAAACAGTCTGGCTGGGGTTAATCATAAATTCATACACACTTTTTGTTATTGTGTAAAGTAAATCAACATGGCAATAAGGGACTACCCTTGGAGAAAGTGAAACCATTCTTAACAAAGTGATTTCACTGGCTCAAAGATTAAAAGAGGTCAGCATTATGTGTTCTCTGGGGATGGACCACACAGTGGAAAGACCTGGCCCAAACCCAGCCAGGTCCAGTGAGGCCCTAGACTCAGTCACAGCAAGGAGAGAGGGTGCCCTTCTTCAGGATAAGGGGAGAAAAGGCAGACCATAAATCCAGTCCTGAGATTCACAGGAAAAAAGGGGGGTGGAGTGGGACAGGAAGTAAGAGAAAAGGCCTAAAGACAAAGCATTTTTTTCAACCTTAAAAAGTTCAAAATTAAAAAACAAAATTAAACTGCAAGATCACTGGAGAGAAGAATAAGAGGCACAAACTTAATTGGGTTAGTTTAGACATGGTCTTGGCTTCATCTGGTGTTACATATGTGGACATCCTTCCAGCACTCTGCTTAACCACTAGAAGGCAGTGGTTTTGAAGAAGAAAAAAAAAAAGGTAAAGCTTGGGATGTAGCTCCTTGATAGAACACTTGTGAGCAAGGCCCTGGGTCTGATCCCCAAGGGTGGGGGCAGCCACAAACATATGTGTGTGTGTGTGTGTGTGTGTGTGTGTGTGTGTGTGATATATATTTCAATAAAACAGTTTCTAAGAAGCTGGGGGCACCAAGGTCACTGGGGCATCCACATGACAAGATCTACTTTTGAATTTTGGTTTGGAATGTTCCATCTTTCCTTAACATCAGTTGATACTGAAGAGAGTGGGGCAGGCCCACTAAAACAAACAAGGATCTGAGAAAATTTGTTCTCAGTGACACTTTTCACATGTAAAAGAAACACTAGAGTCGAGTTATTTGAGAGCCTTCTGCCCTTCCTGACCCTCCTCACCGCCCCCCGCCCCAGGCCTGGATGCTACATCATTAAATATTTCTGGCTGAGCCCTCTTGCCACGTATGTCAGTAGCATTCCAAGCTGGCTACCACATGTTCAGGCTCTGGCCTCCTTCCCTCTCCTGCAGAGTGCTCTGCTGTTTCAAGGGCATGGTGGGGCTACGTGTCTCCCATTTCAGCTCCATCTTCAGTTGATCAGACATCTCAGAAACAACCAAATTAAAAAAAAAAAAAAATTAGTTCCAAAAGAATGTTCATAGCTGAAAAACCTATCTTCCTTGAGATATTTAAAAAAAAAAAAAATTCCACTTGATGAATCTATTAAAGTGAGTTAGAGGGCTGGGATGTAGCTCGGTGGTACAGCGCTTGCCTAGCATGCGTGAGGCCCTGGGTTCGATCCCAGCACCAAAAAAAAAAGAAAAGATAAAGTGAGTTAGATAAAGTGTGTGTGTACATGCACACATAGACACATACACCAGCACACACCCACCAAATTTAAGAGGATTGGAGGGGTTATTTCCTGCCAAAAGATCTAACAGAGGAAAGCTTATATGCTGATCAAGTTTTAATAACGTGGTTAACAAGACGTACACCATTTAGCAAGCAGACAAAGACTGTGGGTAGGAACTACTGATCTCCAGAGTATTTGGCTTCCCAGTCAGTTTTCTTCTGCCTACCTTTGGAGCAGTTTTGATAGTTACTATATTCAGAGAATCCAGGAGGACTGCATGGACAGATGAACCTTTATTTAAAAAAATAGCACTTCAAATAAATTAAAAGGGACAACCGTCAAGTGTTCAAATTGTGAAGAAATATTTGAAAACCTAGAGACTCCAAGCTGCAGTCTTCTAACCTCGTTCTTTGTCCAGTGGCAAAACCCACACATCTCAGTCCTCCCACTTCATTTTCTTCCTCATGAGATGAGGGAAGCAATTGCAAGCAGGAGACCAGACGGAGGAGAAAGCTGCATTTGATTGGAATGAACAGTGCCACGTCCTTGCTAATACGGGTTCCACTTTATAACCAAATGTATTCTTTCAAAAATAAAAAACAGGGGAGGGAAGCTGCATGTTTTTAAGAATTGAAATTATTTAGGGATAAAACACTAACTCTAGTGCCTTTAACGGGCAATAGCAACTTTTTTCCTCCGAAGTCAAACACCATCCCCAGCTGAGCCTTTGTGCTACAAGCTTTTCAGGAGATGTTACCTAAACTTTATTAAAAGAAAAGAACAAGTTTAAATATAGACACTGGACTAGCCCAGTCTGTATTTTCAAGTCCACATTCTTCATCTGAAGCATTGCATCAGGGACCCCCCCTGAGTCTGTATATTTTCAAGTTCACAGTACATGGAACCAGTTTTTCTTTTTAATTTTTCCTCACTCAGAGCAGCCACACACAGTGGCTGTTGACACCGGAACCTCGGGCGGGGCCTTTTCCTGTGAGGCCTGACCAGAGCTGCCCAAGGCTTCTCCTCAATGAGAATCGATGCTGTCATGCTCTATGGATGGGAAAAAAAGCAAGAAAATAAAAGCACCTGGTACAGGTTTCATGAAATTCATTTGGATTCGCTATGTTCCAAACCCGCTGCTGAATGCCATTTGTCCACTTTGTATGCTGAACAGTTTGGGGCCTTGAAGTCGGTCTCAATTTGAAGAACTGTTATTGGATGCCCCAGAGGTTGATGCAATAGCAGCTCCAGCAGGGCTACTTGTGGAGACCGATTTTCGGATATGAGGCAGCAAGTAGGGGTCACAGGCCAGCTGCTGGACATCAATACGGTCCTCCTTTCGGTAGGCTAAGCATCGTCGAATAAATGCCTGCAAAGCAAAGTTTCTTGTAGAAGACCGAAGCAGATAATCCATGTACCTGAGGGATGCTGAGGTTCTGGATCCACCACTAGGGCCTAGAGCAAACATCCTCTTAAAGAGAAGAGGCTTAAGATCTTTCCTGAAAAGCACCAGGCAGACCCAGAGAAGACAAAGGAACACCACCACTAGTAGCAGCAGGAACAGCACCTCTTTGCTGCTACTGACTCCCTCTGCCTCCCCCCCCCACCGCCCCCCCTCCCCGGGGGGCTGAATCATTCCTGAAGGGGGTTACTGGGTGTGGCCTCAAAATACTCTGCCCCAAAGCAATAAAACCAACAGAAAAACTTTGCCTCGGTTGATTTGGATGTGAACAGCCTGACTTCATGGTCCTGCATGGACAAATCATAGCCTCATGTGAACTCCCTGAGAAGTGGATCACATGCAGTGTAACGAGACTGGCAATAACTGACACTGCAATGTGTTACTAGCTGTGGAATACTTTTCCTATGTACTTCATTAAGCAAATGATCAGGTGAGCACTTAAGTAGCAAAGAAGAATACCTGAATAGGACTGTATCCCCAAGAGTATTGCAGGCATAAAAACATATTGTGAGGGGATGTGACATGCAATTCAAAATGTACTATTAGCTTGAGAGGTTTCTTTCCCATGGTAGGAAAGGCTATGTAGTCTTCTTTCTATAGCTCTTATCCTAAAGGACCTTATACAAATTTGTCTTTTTGTATTTCCCTGTATTTTTTAACCAGACAGTTATATTTATTCAAAGATTCATATTGTAGCTCTTTCAAATGAATGAATCAGTTTTTAAAAATCTAAATATCATCATCACTCAAAGCCCATATTTTACGGTGTGGTAATAGAGATGTGTCAATGTAGTAGGCTGCCAATGATGACAAATGCACCACTCTGGTGGTGAGATGCTGACAAGGGAGGCTGTGCAGAAGGGACAGGCAGTAAATGAGAACTGTGAACTTTATGCTCAATTTTTTTATGACCCTAAATTGCTCTAACAAAACCTAAAACATGAAGACAAGCTACGATTTTCTATTTTTTTCCCCATGTTTAATTAATAAAACATAAAACCATAATGCCAATTCTAATTTTTCAAAATCAAAGATCGGTACTTGCATGATTAAAGTATTTGGGAGATAAAAATAGAAATAAACACAATGACCCTTTGACCTTTAAAATGAATTTGTGTGTGTGTGTGTGTGTGTGTGTGTGTGTGTGTGTGTGTGTGTATTCGGGGCCTACACCTCAAGTCACTCCACCAGCCCTTTTTTGTGATGCGTCTTGCAAACTTCTTGCAGACTGGGTCTTGCCTGGCCTGGCTTCAAACCTCGATCCTACTGATCTCTGCCTTCTGAATAGCTAGGATTACAGGTATGAGCCACTGGTGCCTGGCTAAAATGAACCTTTCTTAAAGAGTTACATGAAGCTAGAGTTCTCTTGGGTCAGATACTGGTCAAATAAATGTCTTCTACCTCTCTACATATCTGCCAGTATAGGCTCTTAAAACAGCAATCACATCACACAGTTACCCAATTATATCTTGCCTGTTTTCCATTATACTCACCTAAGCTCTGCATGCTGGTTGGACCTGTGAGCTCATTTCCATGTCTGAGCTAGGCTCACTTCTCTCTGCACAGGATACTCTTCCCTCAAATCTATACCTGGCTCCCACCTTCACTTCATTCTAGACATTGCTCAAAATGTCAATTCATCATCAGGGTCTTCTTCACCATGCCATCAAAAAAAAGGAGTTCCTAACTCCCCACCTTAGTACTTTTATGTCACTTCTTCTATGTGGGCCTTAATTCTCCTGACAGAAATGAAGCTGGGCTGCCCACAATGCCTGGTGTATCCCTACTTAGAGGAGTCTGCTAGCCCTTCCCTGCCCTGCCTCTACGGAGCCTTTTGGATTAAAAAACCCATCTGTCAACATATCTTACAGGATGGGGTGTGCAGAGTGAAGCAATATTCTTCTATTGTTCTTAGGAATATTAATTCATGCCTATCCTACTGTTTTTAGTAACTGCTGAATTTTATATTACACAATCCATCTACTATCACCCAAAGAATTAACATACAAAGCAAGCCAGTCATTTCTGCTGGCCAACTGACCAAACTTACTTTTGCTTCAGGTGTTACTACTGGCTTTGGTGGGAACTGTACTTCAGTAGCTTTAAGAATAGTATTCTCCTGTAGAATGTCTTGCTGGGACTGGTTATGGCCAAAAGGCTATCATATAAAAACAAACAAACAAGCAAATAAGGTGGTTAAAATTAAACAGAACACAATTCAGTACCCAACTGTGACTGGCAGGAGTCCCAGTACTCTGAAGATGCTCTCCTCTAATTCTCATCTTTTAAAGTTAAGGGGGAAGGCCTCAGATCTTAATGAGTAGGTCAAGGCAGAGCAGGGACCAATGCAAAAGCAAAAGGGGCTGGAGGTGTGGCTCAAGTGGTAGAGCCTACCAAGTGCAAGTGCAAGGCTGGGTTCTATCACTAGCACTGCAAAAAAAAAAAGAAAAAAAAAATAGAAGCGCCAAGGGAGAATGAGAACAAAAAAGAGATGGTTTCAACTGTGCCCTAAATTGTAATTCCTAATATACTCTTTTTCTTTTTTGAGTTACTGGGGTTTGAACTCAGGGCCTTCATCTTGAGCCACTCCACCAGCCCTTTTTTTTTGTGTGTGTGATGGGGTTTTTTTGAGATAAGGTTTTTTTTTTTTTGAGATAAGGTTTGCCTGGGCTGGCCTCGAACTGTGATCCTCCTGATCTCTGACTCCTGAGTAGCTAGGAATGCAGGCATGAGCCACAGGCACCTAGCTCCTAATATGCTCTTAAATTCAATTTTACTGGCTTACTGTCACATCTAGTGTTTCCCAGGAAAAGTCTGATACAATTCTATCTAGATAACCTCTACCACCACTACCAGCAGCAATTAAACATTAGCAGAGTGTATAAACAAAAATTTAAGCCCAATAGTTCTTTGTGGCTTCCCAGAAGTTAAAGAGGAAGGTGTCACTGAATTAAGAGATTGGTCTGGGAAGTGTAATCAAAATGTTACGAGCTCAAGAGTTGCAGAATTCCTTCCTAGCTTATAGTCACAGCCCAATCTAGAACACTGAAACATACACACATACTGAAAGCAGAAGTAGGAATATAAATATACAACTGGATTCTAAGATGTATGAATGTATATATTTATAAGATATGCTCACATGGAAAAAGCAAATATTCATTAGTTATAGCTTACTATCTGAGTCAAACAATGTCACCTTAAATCAGAAGAACAGATAAGGAATACTTTTGTGGTACTGGGGATGGAACTCAGCTCCTTGAGCATTCTAGCAAAGTATTTTACCAGTTTTTTCTCACTATATAATCCAAAAGCTGGTCTTGAACTCACAATCCTGTTGCCTCTGCCTCCCAAGTGCTGGAATTACAGACATGCATGACCATCCCCAGGCAAAGAATACTTTCTGACATCACTTCTCCACTACAGAAATATAAAGTGCTTTTTAAAAAAATCAATCATAGCTTTAACTAATGCAGTGGTTAGAAATAAAGTGGAGCTATTTTGAGTTTCCGTTCTTAGGATCCTCAGCAATGACTCTTGGTGAGACTGTTCACTTTAACAAATTCCTACACATATCAGAATCAAAACATGTCTTGGATCTAACTGAAAACAGCAAAAATGCATGTTTTCCAACAGCTCAGTAGAATTTATTAGGTGTCCCATGGCCAAGAATTTTTGCTTATACATAAAGCATTTATTATTATTTTGGCAGTAGTGGGGTTTGAATTCAGGGCTTCATGCTTGCTAGACAGGTGTTCTATAGCTTGAGCCACTCCCCAGCCCAAGAATGTATTTTCTTTAAACTATACTACTTTCAACTCCAAGGACCAATCCATACCCAGGCACAGTATTCACGTTACCCAAGAAGGAAGTCAAGCTGCTGAATTGCCTCTTCCTCCTTACCTTCCTTCCATAAAGACACTGGTAGAAGATCACACCCACTGACCAGACGTCAACTTTATTTGAGATCTTTGGTGGTTCTTTCCCAACCACAAAACACTCTGGTGGTAAATACCTGGGAAAAAAGGGAAATGAAAATGCTTAGAAAAATAAATATATAAATCTAAGACATGTACAAAAAGACAAAACCAAAGATCTTGTTGAAAACAGAAATATCTGAATTTTAATAACCAACTTAAAAGTGTATGTTAAGTCAATGAAAAGGCACTCAGTGGCGATATTCTTACAGGGCATTACTCAATTTACAGAGACAGGTAAATATTATCCCTAGTCCCACTTCACTCCTTTCCTTGGGCCTAATCAAGGTGCATTCGTGTGTGTTCGTGTGTGTGTGTGTACACCCATGGCCTCCTGTAAGCTAAGGAAGCTTTAGACTATTGAGCTACCCCCACATCCCTCAACAAGTTTCTAAAAGAAGTGGATGGGAGCACAAAAGAAAGAATTCTTTTATGATAGCCTCATCAACAAGCACCATACTAAAACTAGAAATAATGTGGATTTCTTTTCATGTTGCCTGAAAAAGGAGATGTTTCTAAAGTCAATATTTATCTATTTATTTATTTATTCATTATGGGAGATGACCCTGTGGCCTCCACTGAGCTATATGCCCAGTCCCTAAAAGTAATAAATGTTTTAAGGACTGGAGGTGTGACTCAAGAGCACCTGCTTTCCAAGTGCAAAGTCCTAAATTTAAATCCTAGTTCCCCCCACCCCAAAAAAAAAGAGGATGGTGAATTCAAGGCCAGCCTCCACTACAAAGAGAGATCCTGTCTCAAAAAACAAAACAAAGAAACAAATTAACAAATGTTTCAAAAGTTCAAATGAATTCAGTACCTAGTAGAAATCTCTAAGGAGAGAAGATATTCTGCCTTCTTAATATAGCCTCTTTAAGAAATCTCTACCAGAAATAACTTCAATATAAAATCAAGGGTGATATTAAAGTTCAAACTATCAGAAGATATTTTATAATTCCTGCCCTAAGGGTGATGGGGCTCACTGGAAACTAACAAATAGTGTAGCAAAAGCCATGCAAACTAGTTGTTAGCACAATTCCATCCTCATCTAAATTCCTTCCCTCCCCACCACTGGTTTCTAAAGGAGCCACCAAATTGTAAGGTATGGAGGGTAAATGCCTCTGGGCATTTAGGGAATCAAATGAGTCTTAGCCACAGCACAGCTGTAAGGCAGAATTCTGAAGATAACAGATCAATTTCTGCAGATTTCATGCTAGTAAAATCCATTCTATGGAAAACTCTTTATTTTGGATCCTGTTGCCCTCCTGGTACAAAAAACTATAAACTTATAGTTTGAAGGGCCCACAAGAGATGAGAGGCAGCAAATGCTCCTGTTCTCATCCATCATCTCCATCAGATGACAGACTTTCTTTTCTTTTTTATTTTCAAAAAAGTTTAGTTTCATATCCTTGTTTTTCATTTCTCTTAAGATCTTTGACTAGATCATTATTTCACAATGAAACCTTTTAACCAAAACACACACTGAGGCTGTGGGGTATAGCTCAGTGTAGAACACATGATAAACATGGATGAGACTCTGGGTTCAATCCCCAGCACCATTAAGCGCAAAAACAAAACAAAAAACCCACATTAAAAATATATATACACAAGCTGGTGCTGGTGGCTCACGCCTGTAATCCTAACTACTTGAAAGGCTGTGATAGGAACAATCATGGTTCAAGGTCAGCCTGGGCCAATGGTTTGAGAGACCCCACCTAAAAAAATAACCAGCGCAAAATGGACTGGAGGTGTAGCTCAAGCGGTAGAGCACTTGCTTTGTAAGTGTGAAGTTCTAAAAGAGAGTGAGTGAATGTGTTTATGAACAAAATGTGAGCCATGGTGGTGCACACTTGTAATCTCAGGAGGCTAAGGCAGAAGAATCAAGGCAGGCCTGGGCTACATAGTGAGATCCTGTCTAAAAAAGAAAAGAAATATATAGAACTTATTAAGAAGGAAAAAAGCAAATATAAAAATATAGGGAAAAGAAAAAATATGAACAAATAAACAACATAGAAAACAACAAGTATTCTCATTTTCCTATCAAGGACTTTGGCGGGGGGAGTAAACTGTCAAAAACAAACACAGCTGCATTTCCATCACAATACAAGTCTTCATACAGTTGAAATACTGTTCAAGGTGTAGTCTGGGCTCACTTAAAGCAGTAGTCAATGTAGAATAATTCTGGAACAACTAAAAACTGCAATTACTTAAAACGTTCTATGCTCCCAGCCTATTTGTACCTCTCCGGGTCATCGTAAGAGGACAACGTATTAAAGATGATTATGACAACTGTTCCTACCAATGACACAGATTCTGGGAACTGTACAGAAATCCATACAATTTAATATTCTCAGAAGTCTCCTCTCTCTTATTTTTCATTATGAAAAATATTCAAATGTAATATAAAGTAGAAAGAACAAAAAAGTAAACCCCCAAGTAACCATCATCCTGTACTGCGTGGCCAATCTTTGCTCACATATCCTTTTCTACACGCCCAACAGATTACTCTAAAGCAAAACATCACATAATTTTAATTTTTTATTTAAATTCCAATTTCTGAATTATTACTAAGCAAACATAGGCCAGTAAGCAATGAAATCACTATTTCAGAAATGAAAAAACTACAGCCTTCATGAACAAGCTATCTAATACAAAGCTCAAATCCAAGTTCCAATGAATTTATACAGTAAAGTTACAAACCTCTTTCCCAAATTTCTGACAGCAGGTATTTCTGCATCACTTAGTGACAGAGACACTAACCCACAATAACCACCACAGTTAACAAACACTATAAATGTAGGTTCTATTTTAAACCAAGAATTCTGAAGTTTTAATTTAGAGTCTTATTTTTTACCATAGGTACCATTTCCACAAGCAATAAGGAACAACAGAAAGCAATGTATTGTATTATTAGCAGGATCAACTGAGAAGAATGGGACTCATCCTGCATGTTGTGAACAGCCCATCCTTTTTCCCTCTTTCTCATCAAGCCCCTTACTCCTGGACAGTCAATGTTAGCCACCAGGCTGAAAGATAAGTGATTGGACTCCCTGACCCTGGGGTACAATAGCCCATTATCCCTTCTTTGTGTTAAAGAGGTTTCACAGGTTCAGAATCACACACAAGCCAAATATGGCTTTGTGTAACCACCTTGGAAGAGGAAAGAAAGCTTTGTTAACACACTTTTGCTATCACAAAGTTATATGCCTTGGCCAAGAGTATGCTTTATGGTTCTGTCAATAGGGGGAGGAAAAAGCAATAATAGGCAGGAATAGGAGAGGTCACAGAACTGGCAAGCAGAGGCTAGCTGGGTAGGGAAGTTGGTAGAAGAAGAGTGATAGCTGATGGTGGGAAGAAGTGTGCCTTAAAGCCTTTTAGAACATGGCTAATGGACATGGATAAACTTCTGGTAAACTGTGCTCACTTTCTCCTGTATAGATTTCATGGGATGCTGTGTTTTTTGTTCCATTCTGTTTGTCACAACTCAGTAATTCTTGATAGTCCTTCATCCTCAGGCAACTCTAGAAACAAATCCCTCATCCCATTAACACATGAAGACAAAGACTTCCATTTGTACTGTAAAGAATTCAGGGCCATTCTTTATATATACCACATGAACAACCTTGTTCTGTACTAACTTGTGAAGCCAGCCCTGTGGAAGACACATACATCTCAAAGACCAGGCCATACATGAGATTTTCAAGAGACAAAAGAAAAAAGTAAGACAAATTAATACAAAGAGTCAAAACTGCTTTTAAAAATAAATATAAAAAAAGGACAGTTATAACATTTCTGCCTTAGCAGGCAGTATACAGAAATTAATTACCAAGGCTTGGCTTCAGAATGGCAGAGCTACCTCTCCACCAGCCAACCTGGCAGTTCTCCTGGATACCTACCAATAAGTACCAGCACCTTGTGACGTTAGCTCCATGCCATCCACTGAATTGTAGCTATCATCATCCATGATCTTGGAAAGACCAAAATCTGTAATTTTTATCTCTCCACACGCTGTACCATTTACTAAAAGAATATTACCTAAAAAGATTAAAATATTCATGAATAAACAGAGACTTCTTTTTTTTTACCCCCCAGTACTGGGGCTTGAACTCAGGGTCTTCACCTTGAGCCACTCACCAGCCCTATTTTTGTGAAGGGTTTTTCAAGATAGGGTCTCATGAACTATTTGCCCGGGCTGGCTTCGAACCATGATCCTCCTAATCTCTGTCTCCTGAGTAGTCAGGCGTGAGCCACCGGCGCCCTGCCAGACTTACTTGTTAAGAGAAAAATCCAAAGTAGTAACAGACAAGAAGGGAACAAATGAACTCTAAATCTTTGGAATAAAGCAATCTAACTCTGGATGCTGGGAGAAGAGTCCTGGGTGTTTGCTGGAAATTTCTGTATTTCAAGAATCACCTGTTCAATGTGCCAAAACTACCCCTATGATAGCACTGAAAATAAAAACAGCTTGTGAAAGTAAAATACCACTTGTACAGTTAGTAACAAACGGTGGAAACATTTCACGTGAACTTTCAGCAAGATCTCTACATTACCCTGTTTTAGAAAAGTAGTTTGGTGGCTCAAGTGGTAGAGCGCCTGCCTATCGAGAGTGAGGCCCTGAGTTCAAACTCCAGTGCCACCAAGGAAAAAAATAGATGGATTAGATAGAAAAGTAGTTTGGGGGTGGGGGTGCAAAAAAAAGAAGAAAACATGGCAAGGAATCAAAGCTGGTATCACAGCGCCACCTACAGCTTCTATAGCAGGAAAGTGTGTTGAATTTAATAATGGAAAACTGGATCACACAGCAGTTATCTTTTAAAAAACACACTTTAAAGAACAGTGAATAGTGAGGTTTTAACATGTAGCTACCAGACATGTAAAGCAAAGTTAACTGGTTAGTGCCATCTACTTGGAACATATGCAGACACCTAAATAAACAGCTGAAGTTAAAAATAAAAATAGAGATAGAAACATATCTTTCCCCTACTCATTCCTGATGACAATCAAATTTAGATGATAATAATGTAAAAAGATGAAAAAGTCTACACAGAATTTAATGAAATGAGAGGCATATGTGCAAAATAAAAATAAGTCATTACTTTTGGGGCACTTATCAAAAAGACTTGGAGCAGAGAAACTGTTACATAGTATGAGTAATGGGAACAAACAAAACTGAACTTGCCAGGATGGTTGTTTCTTAATGGGACTGACATCATGAACAGCCCTACTGCACAGACAAATGGATTGTTTCTCTAGTGTATTTAATCTGACCCATCCACCCTGCTAAATCCAGCAGAGCAGCCAGGACTCCAGGTAATCTACAAACAGATGTTATTAGGCCTTCCCAGCTCCTGTCAAATTTTCTAATTTAATAAATTCAAAGTCACTTAGAAGACCAAAAAGTCATCAATACTGTCTCCTAAAAGTTAGACATACCTGGTTTGAGGTCATAGTGTATGATGGGAGGTTTTATTTCATTTAAGTACTTTAAAGCATTCACAATCTGCATGATAATTGATCGGGCCTCTTTCTCCGACATTAATTTGTGCTGTTTCAGGTAGAAGTCCAAATCATTTCCCTCACAGTACTCTAATACTGTACAAAACCTGAAGACAAATAAATCAACATTTAACCTTTAGATAAGAACAAGCAGATTAAGACTATCTAAATCACTTCCAATTAGCTTCAGATTCCTTTCTTCTTTGTCTCTTAAAACACTCTTCCATTCTTTACTCAGTATCAGCTATCTGAGATTTCACAGGAAAAAAAGTGCTCGCTATCTTGGAAAAGAACCTCTATACCCTTCATGTTGGCATCAACCTTGCTGAAGTTCACCATGGCACAGCTCTTCTTTAATCTAGACTCAAAGAACACTGACAAGAACTATAATGTATGTGAGTTAGACATCTTCTTGGAAGGGTCTCCTTTATATACCCATGTTATGTACTTATTTCTAAACAACCACACGGTAATCGAGTATATAATTCTCCTCATAAGAATTTTATATAACACTAGGTGTTGGCACTGAGGAAGAATCTAGGATTTGTCCTAGTCCCAAGAACTAGTTCTTCTGGCAGTTTGGCACAATACTGCACAAATGTGTTACCAGGTGGCACTTACATCAATACATCACAGACCCACATTTAAAACTACCCTACCATTATAGGTCATGTGTCTATCTTGCAAGGTGTTACAAACTGATGTAAGCCTTCATGAACTATTATAAGAGATAAATATCTTTTGAACTATTTTAAGCTTGACAATGAGGGTCTGTCAGTCAAGATCTAGCCAGAAACCACTTAGGTATTTAAGACAGAGAATAAGCTTTAATTGAGGAAACTAATCACACAGATGATGGAATTATTGAGAAGATAAATTGGCCAGTGAGGCACCCCAGTGGTCATCTACTGCAGGAAGCCATTAGCACCTTAAGGCCAGAGGGCCAGAGGGAGAAGATGGTACAACTAGAACTAAGAGTCACCAGGGGAAACTAGAATTGTGTGCCTCCCCATCTGCTGACCAGCTGAACACCAACACAGAAGCCTTGTTAAGAATAACCTACAAGAGCCAACCTCCCCTAATGCACAGAAGGAAAAGGCAAACAGATCAGGACTAGCATTGGAGGACTATAGTCAACTAGAGTATGAACTTCAAACAGAACTATCACTAAATGTAAACAGTTTTGTGGAATTACTGCTATGAAATGTAGAAGGGCATGCTAGTACTCTATTTGAGAATAACTATCTAAATGTACATTCTCTGATCTGAGATGATGAAATCCAAAACAGACTTTCATCATGTTTAGTGGACTGACCCAAATGCAAGCAAGAAATAAAATATCACTTTTAGTACCCAAACAATTCTTAGAAGACATCCTAAAACAATGGTCTGACTTATTTTTGGTGAAAATTCATCATATGCACAATAAGAAGAACAGTACAGAATCAATTTATCACATTAGTTGAAAGACAACTCAAGTCATTAAAGTTATCTTTGGAATAGTTTTAACACTTATATTGGGGTAGAGGTGTCTACCTAGTATTCAAGGAATCTGCTCAAAACAAAACAGTGATACCACTCTGTGGAGACCAGACCAGGCATCCCTTTTGTACTTTCTAACTAGAATTTTTCTGAGCCATACTCAGAAACACACATGGCTCTGCCTGGTGCCAGGGCTTCTTAAAGAAAAGAGAAAATCCTAAATAGATGGAAGAGGGGACAGGTTATATTTCTTCCAAAGAGAATATGGTCTTTCTGGGATATTTCTAAATATGGGCCAGTACTCTGTGTAGCCATCCAAGATAGCTGCTGGCTAAAAAGACCAAAATTCCTAGAATCACCCTAGGAAGCTGAGGGAACACCTGCAGGCTAGGTATGTTCTTCTGACTCATGCCAAACTCCTATGAAGAAACATTTTTCAAATGCTGAAGTGTTCCTAAATTCCTGGGTGAGTCCAGAGGGCTCTAGCGCTCACTTATCCATACCAGATAACAACATACAGGATTATCAAAAGATTACCAAATGACACAAGTCATTTCAAGTGTCTGGTCTTCAAGATCCACCTACATCGTTGAGAAGCCTGGACCCTGGGATCCCTTCCAGTTCTAACATCTTATAAGCCTATGAACCTACATTTCAACCTGCAGCCCTGGGCTCTGTCTTCACTTGTGCCACATTAATCCATTTGTTATATAGGCTAACATGACCTTGCTGGTACTTTTTCTGTGTGTGTGGTATGGGGTTTGAACTCAGGGCTTACACCTTGAGACACTCCACCAGCCCTATTTTTGTGAAGGGTTTTTCCAGATAGGGTCTTGCAGAACTATTTGCCGGGGCTGGCTTAGGACTGCGATCCTCTTGATCTCCGCCTCCTGAGTAGCTAGGATTACAGGCATGAGCCACCAGTGCTCAGCTTGCTGGTACTTCTTAAAAGGCCTACATGGTTCATCAGAGTCTCCAGGGTGGGGTAGAGACTCTCCTGAACACTCTACGTTCACTGGGCCATGTCAGTGACATGCTGGCACTAACTTCTGCTAGTTCCCAAGAGCTTACTGCTAGTTTTTCAGGGATTTTGTAAGCTGGTTAAAGCACTTGTAGAACAAATAGATAAGCAAAATGTGTAAATACATAAAACAAAAATACTATTTGGCCATTAAAAAAAAGAATAAGATACTGAATCATGCTACATGAGTAAACCTTATGAATATCATAGTAAGTGTAAGAAGCTATTACATGATTCCACTTGTATGAAAGTCCACATTAGGAAATCTATAGAGACAGAAAGTAGTGGTTGCTTAGGGCTAGGGGAGAGAGAGAGGGAGAGGGATGATAAAATCAGAGCAAAAGGTACAGGTTTCTTCTGAGGTGGTAAAAATGTTCTAAAATTGGCTGAGGTAATGGTTGCACATATCTTAAAACCACTGTATTATGTACTTTAAATGAGTGAATAAGATGATATGTGAATTATAATTCAATGAAGCTATTTGTCATTTAAGTTGGTAGCTCAAAAGTAGACATGGTAGGAGTATTTATACTATGGAAATTGGCAAACATTACAAATCAGCCTTATGTTTCTCCAAATTAGATGTTAAACATTTACTAGCACACACGTACACATTCTTTGGACTAGAGATGTCTGACTGACACAAATGTGAATTTATATATGTTCACTTAGTCATGAATTAATAAATTTTGTTCCCTTGGAGGGTATTTCCTGAACCCAGATTTAACATTTATTCCAGAAATACTTAACACTTTAAGAAAATAATATTAACTACTAAGGTAAAATGGCATAATACTTACGAGTCAGTGTCCAGTGAAAAGTAATCATACAGCTTAACTATTCTGGGATGATCCAGTTCTTTGTGAATCCGGTATTCCCTACACGCATGCCTATGAACAAAATGGAAAATTACCAAGAAGGCATTTTAGCTTTATAGAACTCATCAAAAGTACTCCTAGGACTGGAGGAGTGGCTAAAGTGGTAGAGTGCCTGCCTAGCGAGGATAAGGAACTGAGTTCAAACCCCAGTACCATAAAAAATATATATATATTCTTAAATATTCTCTCCTTTCTCCACCATTTTCACATGCTCATTACATTAGATCCAGCTGGTCCCCTCATCTAATTTCTCCCTTTCCTCATCCTGTTTTTGCTTTTGGTGTCTATCAAGCCATGGTTCAAGTAATAGGCACACATATATTTGTTAAATAAGTGGATGGCAACCTTCCATACCTTTCAAGTTCTTCTATGACAATTACATTTCTTTTATGTTTACACCCAAATATCAAATCACACAGACATTTTTTTTTCCCACTCCTCTAAAGCTGATACTTCATATCCTTTAGAGGACTGAGAAAAAAAAAAGAAAAAAAACTGTCAAGCAAGCAAGAAAGAAACCAAAGAGTAACTAGAAACTGTTTTAAGTAATCCAACACAATTTAGCTTGGGATGTTTTGTTACAAGGCAAGAGTTAGAAAAGAGAAACTTTCCACAGTATATAATAAAACTTTATCAAAAAGGTGATGTCAGGAACCATTGTAAAGATCAATTACAGATGAATCAATTTGGGTTGTAACACATTTGCACATAGAAGCAATGCTAGGAATCTCTCTATATAGCTACCCTTAACTCAACTAGCAAAAACACTTTGTCTTTCTTATTATGCTTATGTCTTCTCTTCAACAAAATTAGAGATAAGGGCAGAACAGGTTCTGCCTTGAAGTGGGGGGGGGAGGAGAGAGATGGAGGGAGGGCGAGGGGGAGGGAGGAAGGGAGAAATGACCTAAACAATGCCTAAACAATGTATGCACATGTGAATAAATGAATAAAAAAAGGCATTACAATGGTATAAAAAATAAAAAGTCAAATTTACAAGCTATAAAAAAAAAAGGTGATGTCTTCTGAAACTGGCTTTAGTACATCAAAAACACACAGTAAAGTACTTAACTAAAGAAAAGCTGAGGAAAAGAATTAAGAGACCAAAGCAGGGAGAATTGGAAATCTAGAAGTAATCAAATGTGGGTTTTCCCTAATGGAAACTTTAATGGGCTTATTTTTCAAGCTACCACTTTTGCCTATCTTTGCTTCTTCTGATGCTTCATTTCATTATTATGTCTTTCTGTAGAGAAAAGATGGGCCAACAGCAACACAAAGTGGTAATGAGACATGCACTATATGAAGAAGCTAGGACACAGCTCCCTGAGCTCTAGCTTTCTTGTCACTGGATGAGAAGTTTAGAAATGTACACCAGAGGACACGAGCACACACTTCACCAAAGTAGCTCTACACTTGTCTTTTTTCATCTGACAAGATTCCATGTAATATTATATTATAAAAGTGATGCTTTAAAAAAAGAAGCAGTTAGAAACCTATGGGTTAAGCAGATCATTGTTCAAGTCATTTCTGACTCATGCATGCTTTTCTGGCTCTGTAATTAATTCTCTGTTCTATTAATTTCTTCACTTTGTGCATATCAAAAAAGAGACCACTTTTGTGTGTGTGTGTTTGTGTGTGTGTGTGTATCACTAAAAGCAGCAACCCTCAATGTGCGCCAAGCTCTAGGCCAGCTGCAAGGAGTGACTGGGCAGTGTCCCTCACACACTCACCTTTTAATTTAGCATCCAAGGGATTAATGCACTAAAGAGAGTTTACTAAAAAAGTGGGAGAAATCTACCTACTAAAGTGTCTTTAGGATTGGAGGTATGGCTCAAGTAGTGGAGTGCCTGCCTAGCAAGTGCATGGTCCTGAGTTCAAAGCCCAGGACACACACACCCCAAACAATAAAAGAGACAGACAGACAGACAGACAGACACACACACACACACACACACACACACACACACACACACACACACACACACTAAAAGAAGAAAAAACAATTTTAGAAGACCTTACTATGGAGAGAAATAAAATTTTCCTATTTTATAATGTTACTGTAACACTGATGTGCACTACTTTTTCAGTGTCAGTTTAACAATGAATTATTTATTAGCTGGGCACCAGTGGCTCATGCCTGTAATCCTAGCTATTCAGGAGACAGAGATCAGGAGGATTCCCATTCCAAGCCAGCCAGCGTAAATAGTTTGTGAGGCCCTATCTCAAAAACATCCAACACAAAAAAGAGCTGGTGGAGTGGCTCAAGTGGTATAGTGCCTTCCTAGCAAGCATGAGGCCCTGAGTTCAAGCCTCAGTAGTGCCAGAAAAAAAATAAATTAAATAATGAATTTTTAAAACACTCTTCAAAATATTGTGTTTGATCTAAGCTGTAAGTTCAAAGTTATTAATGACACTTATGCAATTCTCCATTATTTATAGCCTAAATTCATGGTATAACTTCATATCACTAAGAAAGCAAAATCTTTCAAAGAAAGGTAGAAGTGTTGAAGAATTTTCTCCCAAGCAAGAATGGAGGTTACAAGAACTTTGCACACCCTCTCACCATTGTCTGTCAACTGAGAAATGGACAATGACCAGTAATTTCCATAGGTGTTCTCAGGTGCCATGACTGCCTCTCTGATAAGGGAAACAGAAGGAAGGCATCATGGTAGCCTGAGCCAAGACAGCAGTGCTTAGGACAAAGAAGACAATCCCCTTTTACTTTCTCTCTCCCTTTGGTAGAGAAAGGTAAGAAAGATACTCATCCATACCCACTGGGGCTCAAACAGCTTGCCAATAGTGTCAAGGAGGGACATGGGACTGGCTTCAATTCCTCATTTTGAAAAGGTTAGATGAGCTGACTGCTCTCCTGCAGTTACCATTGTATTCAACACCACAGTTCTCTTAAGGTCAGCCTAAAAGCTGGATTCTGAAATGGCAAAATATTACAAGTTCCAGCATAGAAACTACATTCTCAAGGTTGACCATGCTTGGTCCTAATACAGCCAACTGTTTTAGAATGGTCAATGCAGAGGTAAGCTGCAGAACAGGCATTTAGGATCCCCTAGGCACTCTTACAAGTCTCAGTACAACAGGGACAATTCTCATTTATAACTGGTCAGAACAATGCATGGTTTCCTTCCTTGAAATACTGCTGGCATTCATGGCTGCGTGCCATTCACACCAGAGATCAAGTGACTGGAACACATTATAATAATGGATCTGCTCCTCAGGAGAATCTAGACTGCAGCTGCTTATCATATAAGACATACATGGAGGCATTCATGTGTTAGGCACATATCATCTCTTTTACTACCTTTGCTACTTCCTATTTCTCTTAGGGTTGCAGGAACCCTCTCTTATCCAGTACTGAGTGCCACTGCCAATCTGTGTGCAACAGAAAGAAATTTGGGAGGCAAACACTGGAAGAATCACAATTCAAGGACAGCCAGGGGAATAAGTTAGTGAGACTCTATCTCAACCAACAAGCCAGGTATGGTGGTATGCAACTGTGATCCCAGCTATGTGAGTGATGTAGATAAAAAAGTTGAGGCCTGAGGCTAGCCCACAGTAAAAAGCATAAGCCCTTACATGAAAAATAACTAAAGCAAAAAAAGGGTTGGGGGTGTGGCTCAAGTGATAGAATGTATGCCTAGCTAAGACCTTGAGTTCAAACCCCAGAATCCCCCATGCTCCCACACAAAAAAGTTTTTAGGTTCCTGATGAACAACAGGTATAAAGCCAGGGTTGCTCTTGATAAGAAATACTTGATTTTTTTTCTCTAAAGTTTTAGAAGTTGACTAAAAGATACTTCAAAGCACCACCCCCCAGACCCTCTATGTATTATTTATAATAAAAGGCACATGGCTACCGCTACAGTTAGGGTGTTCGTTTCTATCAAAAGGGGCTTATCAGCTCCCTTCAGGAACAGGACCTCTCATTCAATACTTGTACTTGCCAAAAGGAAACAAAGCTCAGCCCAGTGGGGAACCTAATAGCAAATTAAGTCTGAGGCTTCCTAACCAAAAGAGCCATAAACTCTGGTGTTAGGAAGCTCAGGGGGGATTACAGACAAAACCTGATATTAGTGGAACAAAGAAATTCACAGCTGCATATGTAATAACTATTCATTCTAAAGAAATCACCCTCCTAAACCTCAGATCCCAAGGACAGAAGAGTACTGTCACTAATGGCATTCTGAAGAAAGGCAAGCACAAGAAGGGGACAATGAAGACAAGACATAGAACTCTGAGATGGGCAAACTGAAGTGGCAGAAGCACAGCACTGAGGGGCTGAACAAGTCTAACATGTACCATGAAGGTTTACTAGGAGCCCATTCCACACTGTCTCTTCCAGAAGGAAATGACTGAAGTAGCCAAGAATCCCACCAGCAGCTTCCCAGTGTCCTTAGACCACTAAGAGACACTCTCTCTTGGTTTCTATAAGTAGGCAACAATGTTTTTTGAGGTTTTACTTGTTTTTGTAGCTATTTTTAGATCAATGGAAAGAGAATTAAGAGCATGGGTTTTGGCTGGAGAGACATCTATTTCAATACCAGCTTAGCCATTTAACCATTATTCAAATTCTGTAAATATCAGTTTCATCATCAGTAAGATGCAGAATATATTCACTCCCCTAGGGCAAACAGGAGGATGAAAAAAAACCAACAATAATTCATTTAAAGCTCTTAGCACAATGCTCAATCAATAGCTATTATTAAATTCAGAAAAATCTAAACAAAAATAAACTAGAAAAAAGAAAAAAATTAGAAAAATCAGACATTTAGTATCACTTACTTGTGGTAATTCTCCTTTTTCTCATCTCTCCAGTTTTTATTTAACTGGTGAATTTTCACAGCTACGTATCTTTGCTCTGTTAGATCAAATGCCTACAAAGAAAAGGAATAAATTATATTTTAGATAAATACAAGAATTACGGGGAATTGACTTGGAGATTTTATTTAACACATCAACACAAAGTCCAAAATACATTATTAAATAAAAACAGCAACAAATGACAACACATCACATACTTGCTTTGGTGTTGCAACAATTTTCTAGAACTTGTGATTAGATAATTTAAAAGTATCTAGACACACTGGCACCGAGGGGTTTAGAAGACAAACCCAAGCAAACACCACAAACAGAAGGCCAGCCCATGCGTTCCTTTATGGCTCTTCCCAGCAATGCTCTTTCTGGACAGACCCTCTTCATCTCAGGCTTTTCTTCCTTAGGTTGTCTCTAGCCACTCAGCTGACACTGGGACTTCAGAGGCTTCAGCAGTAAGTCCCCCTGCTTTTGAAATCCTGGGAACACACAAACTGCCTGTCTCCTAAAGAAAATAACCCCCCAAGATACAACTCTTTGGTATGACTGCTCCCAAATTAACCCTGTAATTTGGTATGTTGTGTCTATTAAAATAAAAACAGAAACAAAGACTAAAAACAGCCGTGCCTTTCGTCCCACCCCTGTATGCTGGGAAAATTTAAAGAGTTTTTAAGCCTAAAAAATGACTGTAGTTAATCACACTAAAAGTCACTTCTCCAGCACTGTTCAGAAAAAGGAACAGGCTTTCCTCAAAGATCACCAATGCTAGCAGGCCCTGTAATAGCCAAGTAGTACTATGTCATGGGATAAAAAAGTTTAACAGATGGTTTTATGAAGAAGTTGGGTATTCACAGAAATGAAACTTTTCTCACATTGTGAAGCATGTATAGCATCATGACTTTATTGCAGAAAACCAGTTCAAGCCATTAAAAACCAGGTTTAATGGCATCTATTCTGTAAGAGCACCAATACCATGGCAAGTGTCATTTTCCCCAACTTTCACCCCTTACTTCTGAATTGCAGGCACCCATCATTGATTTACAAGGGCTTTTAGAGAATGGGGAATGGCAAAAGAACAACTACAACAAGTGTAGTATAAGAAGCATACAGATTTCTGAAATATTAAAAACACCGAAGAACTACACTGAGAAAAAATAAGATGATGAAATCACTCAAAGTACCTGTGAAGCCCCACGAATTAATTTTGATGATTTTTACAATGGAAAAATTACTTTTCACTTCTGTGTCTTGAAAAGATATTTATATACCGAGGTTCCAAGCAGCACTATTTACAACAGCCAAGAGGTGTAAGCAACTCAAGCGTCCAACAAAGCAGGAATGGATAAACAAAATGTGGTACATATATATGAAATGGAATATTATTCAGCCTTATAAGGGAAGGAAATTCTGTCACATGCTGTAACACGGGTGACTCTTGAGGACATTATCTTAAGTGAAATAAACTAGTGATAGAAAGATAAACACTTTATGATACTGTTTATATAAAGAATCTAAAAGTAATCAAATTCATAGGAAAAAAGTAGACTGTGGTTACCAAGAGCCAGGGGAATGGGAAAAGGGAGTTGGTTAATATGAAAAGGTTCTAGAGATCTGTTTCACAACACAGATCTTCTTAATGCTACTGAATTCTATACTTAAAAAAGTTAACATGGTAAATTATACATTATATATCTGCCATCACAATAAAAATTATAAAAACATAAACTAAGCATATGACTTATGAAAACAATTTTGAAACAGAAAACAGCCTTAACAGTAGATTTGATCAACAAAACATAAAGCTGATTCTTGGAGTAACTAATAATAACACAGACTAATCAAAATATCAGTCCAGAAACACAAAAATAAGTACTTCATACAAGAAAGAAATAACTAAAGCATAAATTTTTTTTTTAAATCTAGATGAAATAGAAGATTTTTTTCAGAGATTAAATTACTGCCAGGCACAGAGGCACACACTTCAAGTTTCAGCCTGTAAGAGGTTGAGGAAGGAGGCCAGCCTACGCTGCACAGCAAGTTCCAGGCCAGCATGGAATACATACAGAGACCTTGTCTCAAAAAATTAACAAGCCACCCTATCCCCCCAAAATAACCAAAATTGACTTAAGAAGGGGGAGAAGCTGGGTGCTGCTGGCTCTCGCCTATAATCCTAGCTACGGGGAAGGCTAAGATCAAGAGGATCATGGTTCAAGGCCAGCCCAAAAACTTCGTGAGACCTCATCTCAACCAACAGCATGTGCCTATCATTCCAAGCTACTTGGGAGGCTGAGATCTGGAGGATTGTGGACCAGGCCAGCCTGGGCAAAAAGAGAGACCCTATCTCCAAAACAACCAGAGCAAAAGTGGTAATGTACCTGCCTAGCAAGCATGAAGCCCTGTGTTCAAACCCCAGACTGCCATGGGGGTGGGGGAAAGAAAATCTGAATAGGTCAATGTCTACAGAAGGAATTGAAAGGACAACTGTTTTCTTCCAAAATGATGCCTATTCAGGTGATTTTAATGGGTCAGCTGTAACAAACATTCAAGGAGCAATACTGCTCCAGCAAGAAAAATGTCCCAATTCATTCTAAGGAGCTAGGATAACTATGACATCAAAGCTCCACGATGCTACTTGCACACAAAAGATAACCATGGAACCAGTCAGACTTATGAGCACAGATAAATCAAAACCAGCAGTGCACTGAAAGTTATATTATAGTTCTGGAAATGGATAATGATGACAGGTGCACACATTGTGAATGTAGTTCATGCCACTGACTATATGCTTTAAATTGTTGAAGAGGTAAACTGCACATGTACATACATATATAATCATAATTTAAATATTAACATTTAAGTTGGGTATGGTAGCACACACAAAACAAAACATAAAATCCGATTTCTCACACAGAAATTCTTATGGGTGAAACAGATCACAACAATAAAGGCTACACTTAACAAACAGGATTCCCACAGCTATGCAGTGAAGACAACTTAATAAACCAATTCTGTGTTTTCTACCCAGGTGCCAAAAATACGTAGAGAAAGTGCTGCACATGTGGATGTGCAGCAATTTAAAGCTGGCTGACTCCCTCACTCAGTATAAATCAAGCCAGAGGGCCAACTGTGCTGGCCCTGCTGGAGCACTAAACAATGCACTGTTACTAAACCCACTTACAAGAGAGCGTCACTAACACAAAAAGCCAATTTTCAAAGGCCTCACACTTTGACACATCTATTTTGTTAAAAAATGATTATGAGAAAAAAGGAACTCATTTCTAGCAAATGCAAATGAGGCAGAAAGTACAGAACAAAGGTAAGAAAAAAATCACCACCCAGAAACAATATTGTTTTTCCTTCCCGTTTTATTTATTACTAATATTTCAAGCTTTAAAGCAGTAAAATATCATCTGCCACTTAGTCACTTAAATTTATTAAAAGCAATTTTCCCAATGATATAAGTTCTTAAAGCTTATGAATTTCAACCAATGGATATCAACCTACAGTTATCACTATTTTAAATGTTCTCTGAATTGGTAATAACCAATAATCTAACTCTGTATACTTATACTCAGTTGTTCACACTTACCTTGTAAACTTCACTGAAACCTCCTCTACCCAAAAGATGTAACAACAAATATCTGTCATTTAGCGTTGGATGATCTTTAAATCTGTGGAAACAGGGAATATTACATTCTGAAATCAAGGACTATAGTCTTTCATATTTCAAAAATTCCCTTAATATTACACAGTATACACTTGATTACAGCTGCTGCTGACAATCTGCCACTTGCAGTGAACTGAGTACAAAGTTACTTAGTTCAAAGAGGCAGCCTAATTACAAAAAATAGTGATAGAGCAAAAGATATAAGTGCTAGTCTCAGTAGCCACAATTAGACCTCCTGCCTTTCTTGACCTCCCTCCCTGCCACAAAGTGAGGGGGAGTAGATTAAATTAGAGCAAAAATTTTCAAACTGTGCTCTTTGGCTCCTCCAAACCACTCAAGAGACATATGCCCCCATCATTTCAAAACTACCAAGATAATTTACACTGCCTTAAAAAATGGATTATAAAGTGAGTCACAGGTTCTATATGGATTCATTTCTCTCCTCCCCACCCACCCACTCTCTTATTTATTATCGTATGTGTGTGAGAGAGAAAGAGAAAGAGAGACAGAGAGAGAGAGACAGAGAGACAGGGTCTTAGTATGTAACACAGGTTATCCTCAAATTTACCAGTCTCTTGCCTCAGCCTCCAAAGTGCTAGAATTACAGATCTGTGTCATCACATCTGGGTTATCATTTTCTCTTTAAGGCAGAAAGTCTATGATACTACTGTGTTCTCCAAATAAGACTCTACCTGTGATGTGTACCTGTAATCCCAGCACTAAGAAGGCAGAGGTAGGAAGATCATGAATTCAAGGACAGCCTAGGCTACACAGTGACACCCTGACTCAAAAAAACAAGGGCTGGGAAGGTAGCTCAGAGTCACACACTTGCCTAGCATGTGAAGGACCTGGTTTCGATCCCCAGCACGACCAAACAAAAGAAGATTCCATCCTGTGTCATTTTCTAACAATTATGACAAAGAAATGACAATATTCTGGCAAAATAAGTGTTACGGTATAGGCTATAGTTTAGATATAAAATGGCCCCAAAAGCTCATGTGTTGAAGGCTTGGTCCCCAGCTGGTGGCACTACTGAGGTATGACTGGATCATTATGGTACTTGAGCTATTAGGAGATGGAACCTTGTTGGAGGAAGAGATCACCAGGGGGGTGACTCTGAAGGTTTCTTTTGTCTCCAGACCATTCCTTCTCTGTCTGCTTCTGGCTGTCATGAGGTAAGCAGTTTCACTCTGTTACAACCTCTCTACCAAGATGCTCTACCTCACCACAAATGGATCCAAGTGACCTTGGACTAAAATCATAAGACAAAACAAATTCTTCCTCCCTTAAGTTGTTTTCTCAGGTGTTTTGTCACACTGACAAAAATGAATAACACAGAATTTTTACTTAGTTCCTGATCTTAAACAGCCTTCCTATTAATCCTGAAATTATTTTAATTAAAAAAAAAAAAAACCAAACAAACAGCATGCCTGTGGGGAGAGACAATTACTATATGGTGGGTTGGATTAGACAGATCCAAGTTTGACAAAATAACTTAATTTCTTTAGTTTGTTTTCTGATTGATGTATTAAAGATGATGGGGTTATCATGAGGTCAAGTGTGTGTGTGTCAGAGCACTTAGCACCATGCCGGATACACACAGTTTCTTTGTGAATGTTAACTACTGCTGGCTCACACTTGACAAAAGGAATGGTCCATGGCACACACTGATCCAACAAAAATATACAAGTTCTGTGAAAAATGTTTCAGACTTAGAAATATGTGACAAAGAACAGATTAGTGATAAAAAAAAAAAAAAAGCCCTTTTCGACTTGTAGCCTACTTTTTGTACTTTCAGTCTTTTGATGACTTATAAGCAAAGGTGGGCATTAATTTGTAATTCAGGTGAAGTTAAGAATCTTACTTAAACTCTCAACACCCAAATGGACCTTAAGGATCATTCAGAAACTGAGTGTCAAATCAAACCTAATATTCTTTCTACAACACCAAACTGAGGCTCATGCTTCCCATTTCCATGGATAAATGTGAATAGCATAGGTACCACCCATTTACAGTTGCAATGCTGTATTGTTTTAGCACTTCTGCTTGTGTAAAAATGCTGTATGATACATATATATTTAGTATATGAACTGAATGTATTTATATATATTTAAACTAAGAAGATCATAATTTTGTTCTTAAAACTGTATATCTTATAAAAGAACTAAATACACTGGAATTATTTAACAAACTTATATTAAACAAAAACACCATACTGGACTATCATGTCAGAAAGTGCTCATTAATCCCCAACCCAGTACACCCCAAGTTGCTTACTGTGAGTTATCTTCATTATGTATCCTTTTTAGTTCCCTGATATGTAGATTTCTAACCCTTTCTAGCCTTTCCAGCTCAGCCTGGATCTCTGCTTCCTCCTGAAAAGGAAAGAAAGCTCAGAATACAAGGAACTTCACCTTTTCATTGAAAAACTACAGGAAAATGATTTGCACTGAAAAAAAGATTAAATCCTCTGCCCCTCCTTTATCTCCCCACTCCTCAGATGTAAGCATTTTTAAGTTTCTGTATAAATTTTCATGAATGTTTTGTGCACTTATACATGGGTATACAAACAATTTTTACAAAACTTAGGTTCACAATCTGGTTCTTTTTTCTAAGTACGGATTATATTTGTGCCTTAAATTCCACTAATTTAACATCTGAGAACTCAGTTGGAAAAAAAGGTATGATATAAAAACAAACACACACCAACAGTTTATTCAATGGTTATTGACCACTATCACTGTGAACAGCATCTACCAATAACGTATGAACTGCTAAATTTAAGAGCTGAGCAATCTATAGTTAGAATATCTCAAAATTAGAGCTGGGCACAGTGGTTCATAACTATAATCCTGGCTATTCAGGAGGCAGAGATTGGGAAGATCATGGTTCCAGGCCAGCATGAGAAAAAAGTTTGTGAGACCCTGTGTCAACCAATAAAAAGCTGGGTGTGGTAGTTCACACCTCTCATCCCAGCTAGTGGGCAGCATAAAAAGGAGGACTGCGGTTCAGGTCAGCCTGGGCATAAATGTGAGACCCCATTCATAAAATACCTAAAAAGTAAAAAGAGCTAGGGGTGTAGCTCAAGCGGTAGATAGCACCTGTCTGGCAAGTGCAAAGGCCTGGGTTAAAACCCTAGTACTTTCAAAAGCGGGGAGAGACCTCAGCAAGTTCTGCTAGGTTATCTTTGTATTAGAATATGGTTGGTATAATAATTTTTCTTCAGCTAGTTTAGGCAAGAAATAAGAGCTATGTGATTTAAAATATCACAAGAGTCTTAAGCTTAATTTCAGAACTGTCTGCTCCTGTATAATTAACTTCTACTCTAGGAATAACCACTTGGGTAGCCTTATAATACAGACAGATTTATCTACTGATCGGTCATGGGGGGTAAAAGTACTCACACTGGGTGAATGGAATGGCGTAAGTGTAACTCAAGATTCCTGCAATGATGTTGAGGATACTATTATATTTTTCCAAATGACCACACAATTTCCATACTAGATGTAAAGTAGAAATTACATTTCTCCAGGAAGATTTTCTTTACCTTTTTAAGATGACCTAATCTGAGTTTGAAGATTTCTTCTTGTTCATGGTATTCTGCTAATGTTAACCTGGAAAATAATGGTAGAAGTTTCAGTAAATTATTTGAAATCATAGTGTGCCTATTTAAAGAGAAATGTTCAAGTATGCTACAAGGAATATTTGATCTCTCATTTAAAATGACAAAAAGCCAGATTATTTTGCAGTCCTTTGATAAAGGGAATTTCTGTGATTTCTCAGATCTGATGTGAAGGAAATACTCAAAAGCCAAAATTTTAGTATGTAAAAAATGAGAAAAATATGCAAGCTTTATTTTTACATTATTTATGCAATGGGTTTTGTTCCATGCATTCATTACTCAGGTGAAAGCCCATTCAGAGAGATGATCAAAATTATATGTCTAAAAAAAATAAAACTTTCTTCACATTCTAGAAGCATCTCACTGTTTAGAAATGTTTTAAATAGCAGAAGAAAGAGACAACAGATATCATGGATAATCCAGTAGGGCTACCAAAGTACAGCCTCTGATTTTAACTCAAAGAAAACAGAATGAATAAGAATTAGTACATTCACTAGGGCTGTTACACTTACTCCTCACAGCTACAGATACCTGTATCTGTTATTCCTTTTCACACTAGGAAAAAAGAAAGAAATGAGAAATCATTCTCTGCTTGAAACAGGTTCAATAACCAGAAGGATAATGTGACTCACTCCAGAGGCCTGTTTTTGGCTTTTGGTCAGAGGAAAGAGCCAAGTCACAGACATTAATTAAAAAGTAGACTAAAGGCCTTCCAGCTTACATTTTACACAGGACTCCAGATGGCAAATGCTCACTGACAGTACCTTACTGGCTTAGACTGAACTCTAATTATTGTTCTGTGGCAAAAACAATAAAAACCCCTATGCCTTCTTTATCACTGCTAGGCTAAGAGTTAAATAATTTTCAAGCAATGCTAGAGGGAGAGTTCCTTCACAAAATAAACACAGGACTCAATGTCAAAAAAACTGGGGGTGTGGTTCAAGCAATAGAGGGCGTGCATTGTAAACATGAAGCCCTAAGTTCAAATCCCAGTACCACCCAATAAAAAGAAAAAAACAATAAAAATTAATTTATCTGGAGAATCTTTCAAAATCTTGGTTGCTACCTGGACTTTTAGAAAGGAAATACTTCACATCTGAACTATTGTAGTTTTTAAAATATTCCATTATATGAGTGAAAATGCTTTCCAAACTTCGTTTAGTATGTTTATTTTTATCACTTATGCTTAATGTAATTATTAGTTTATTCATTTGTTCATGACCCCTAAGTAAACTGTAAACTCCTTAAATTGGGACTGTATCCTTTCAATTCTGCATTCCCAGAATAGGGCCTAGCATAAAATAAACACTTTAAAATAAACTTACTAAGTGAATGTCAAAGAAAAGACTTCCCAATACATCGGGTGTATATGGGGTGAGGATCGTGTTATGCCACCTTTCTCACTGCAATAAAGGAATACTTATTTCTGGGGGGTTGTGGACTTTTAACAATGCTGTAATAGAAATTGTACACTTGAAGTGAATTACAGGTTACTGTGTTTTTATGATATAAAAACATAAAAAAGACAAAAGGCATATTAGTTAATAAGTTATATATTATAACCTTTCTATTTGTGGCTATCTCTGGTCATGAAATTTACTTTTTTTTTCTTTTTTTGGCAGTATGGAGGTTTGAACTGAAAACCTCACACTTACGAGGCAGGTGCTCTTACCACTTGAGCCACTCCACCAGCCCAAAATTTACTTTTAATTACAGAGGAGAGTGAAAAGGACTGGAATAGGAAGATGTTTCTGCCCAGGATTTTTAACTTCTCCTACATATAACAGTAAGTGCTAACCAGCAGAGAAAAAGATGATTGTACTTCAATTTAATTTAAGATACTGGTATTTTCCTTTGGTTTCCAGGACAGGGAAGAAAAAAAAAAAAAACTGGCTTATTGTGAAAATGTTCTTTTTCTAAAACAACAGCTACTTTTTTTTTTCCTTTTTATTCCCTCAGTTTGTGTGCATTTTTGACCACTAAAGAGAATTTTCGGTCAGAAATCCTGTTAAGATGCTATTAATTTACCACAATGTAGAGCCATACATAAACAATAATTACTACTAACATCGTATTTGTTATGGGTGGCCAAAAATCATGACATCAAAGTGACATTACTTTTCCCTCTCATTCAAAATTCTCTAAATAAAGAGTAGAATAAGAAAATCAGGTAATTTTTATGAGTTGAACAAATCCAGTGATATGAGCTGAAAACACAATTTAAACTTTAGAGACCTTCTTACGTTGTAACTGCTTCCAGTGACATTCAACAGAACATTCTATTTGGGGGGGAAGGTGTACTGTCTCAGTTCACATCAATAAAGAACGTACGTTTCATTTTCAGCTCCATTGGTCTTGCTTTTCCGCTGTTTCTGTTCATTGGTTGCTGGAGGGGCCTGACCCATGGCAGGAGGTTTCCGCTTCGCTAACATTTTCCGTTGTCTTTCTATCTCTTCCCTTTGTGAATTTATTCTTTCCTGTTGCCTAGAGATATAAAAGATGTGACACAGATGTGGCAAAAAAAACAAAAACAAAAAAACTTACCATTGCTACAGAATGAATATAATAACTTATTACCCAGGGATTTGACAAGCTAGAAAAAAAAAGCCCTCTTAAACCACAGAGATTTGTATTTGACCTTCAAGAGGTAGGAGTCAAATAACTGATAAGAGATGTTTTTTTTAAATCTATTCTTTAAGACAGTTATGTCTTAAAGGAAAGGAAAAGTGACCAAGAAGGAACATTCCATTTCTATTAGGACCTTACTGCCTAACTTGAAAGGAACAATTTCCTGGTTCCCTTTTAACATCTAATAAAACAACTCCTCCCTGGTATGAGCCCATTAGAGATCTGTAATTAAGACAAAAATGTATAAACATTCCAAATGGCTTCCTCAAGTTTCAAGTTTGTACAATGCTAAAACAAGACTGTCTGTTTACGCTTATCACTTATTCTAATCTAAATAAGCCATCACCACCCTCCCAAGTCATTCCTACTCGCTGATATGGTAATACCTAAAACTAACTTTTTTTTTTCCGTAACAAGTATACTCAAATAAAGTCAATGAAGTTTTACAAATAGTTGTAACCCCTTAGAGAATGGCATATAAAATGAATTAGCATAAAACATATTTTATGAGTCTTCAAATGTCTAACACCATTACCAGTGAAGTATTTCTTAACTAAGATACTTAATTTTCCCCTTAAGAAACAACAGGTTGAGCATCACCTACAAGCTTCAGATTTCTGAGCTTTTTAGATTTGGGTTTAGCAATAGCCAAACTTGGCTTAGGAATAAGGACACCTTGTCTCAAGAGTTTTGTTTGCCAAAAAATCTCTTTAATATTTTTTTTGATGGGACTGAGGTTTGAACTCGGGGCTTCATGCTTGCAAAGTAAGCACTCTACCACTTGAGCCACATCTCCAGCCCAAAATCTCTTTAGTATTAGGTGTAACAACCTCCCCAAATATATACATAATAAAATAAAATTATATAAGTACTATATAAACTATATACGCATTTTATGGCTTGAAAGAATTCTGCGTTTGAGACATAGAATACATAGGTAAAATTACAATGTCTCTTCTAAACCTGTGAATGTCCCTGAGGAAAACATTTACTTTATCTAAACATGAGTTTCCCAATTAAAAAAATTAGTAAAATGTCTTTAGCTCATGCCTACCCTTTCAGGAGTCATGACTATAAGGCACTCAGAACTCCCTGTAGATAACTATATAATACATTGTTTAAACAATAGTAAACTGTAGTAGCCTAATGGAGTACCACAACATTAAGCCTTTAAAGACTACCTATGTTTTGTAAGATTGAGATTTTAGCAATCACTTTTACCATTCTCAGGGAGAATTCATACATTTAATCTCTTCAGATTCACCAAAAAAGGAGCCCACAGTCATCATATAAACATATAAACACATAAGCATGGGGTACAGAGATTCCAAAACACTTTTGGGGAAATCTTAAACTATATATTTTAAAAGGTGTGCTTAGACACAAAGCTGATACACCAAAGATCAGTATCATAAATATTCCCATATCAATTCTTGATGTACTTGAAATTGTTTAGCTATTTTTTCTGAAGAACAAAAGTCATGTAACAATAGTCTTCACTTAGGTTCATTTATTTGAGAAGTATTAAATCCATATTATCTCAAAGGAATCACTGTCTTATCAACCATTATATCCCTAACACATAAGTGTCTTTCATAAAGATGATCCTTAAATGTTTCTTGTGTAGTGTCAATTTTAGAGAGTGCTCAGCCTTCATCAAACATGGAAAGAGATTTCTTCTTTTACAGAACTACTGAACTCAATCCATTTCACTCAAATCTAAACATTATGTTAAAGTCTTAACCTCTAATACCTCAGAAAATTACCTTATTTGAAAATGATGTCATTGAAGTAATTAAACTGACACAGGGTAGGCCCTTAATCCAATATGATTGGTGTCACAGACATACCAGGAGTACCCCATATGAAGACAGAGGTAGCAAATGAAGTTAAGCTGCCATTAACCATGAATGCCTTGGACCACAGGAAGAGGACTCCCTCTATGTTTCAGGGAGTATGGACTTACCATACTTTGATTTTAGACTTTCGGGCCTCTTGAACAATCAGAGAATAAATTTCTGTTGTTTTAATACACCAAGTGTGGGCTGGTAGAGTGACTCAAGTTGTAGAGTGATTGCCTGGTAAGTGCAATGCCCTGAGTTCAACCCCTAGTACAGCCAAAGCAAACCAAACCAAACCAAACCAAACAAACAAAAAAACCCATCAAAGTTATGGTATTTTTTTACAGCAACCCTAGGAAAGGAATAGGTACCTTCAACAACAAAACTGTATTCCAGATCTAACCATACTAGAAATAACTAATAGGAGAGATATTTTTTTAAAATGTACATATTTTCAGACATTACTGTATTTTATTCATGATTTTTTTTTTAATTTGAGGTTGAACTCAGGGCTTCATACACACTTGCTGGGCAAGTTCTCTACCAACTGAGCTACTTCATTAGCCCTTCTGGATTTGGTTACTTTTGAGACATACTCTCATTTTGTGCTCAGGCTTGCTTAGACCACAATCCTCCTATTTTCACTTCCTGGAGTAGCCAGGATGACAGGCACATGCCACCTCACCCAGCCACTGGTTGAAATATAAGGTCTCCTAAACCTTTTGCCCAGACTGGTCTTGAACCAAGATTCTTCTGCTCTCCATCCCCCTAGGAATATAGGCTTGTGTCACTATGCACAGTTCAGACATTATTTTAACAAAAAACCAAAAAACTAGTGATCTACAAATACCACATGAACTTCTCAAGAGACAGTTTTTGAAGATTCCCAGGATTTCATACATTCTATATATGCTGGGAACAGTGAAATGCTTTGGACAACTCAAGTGAGATCTGAAATTCATGAGAATCACAATATGTGGTTCACATGTCATGGATCACATGACAGAGAATTAGATGGTCCAGTAGAAACTGCTTTAAAATGAGTAACCTCCTCACACATCAGAAAAAAATACCAGGATGAGCACTATAATATTGTCAAGTTTAATTTACCCCCTGATATTCCACACCTTCACTTGACCTGAGCCAAAAAGCAATTGACATTCCACATCATATAAGACCACAATGTGTGTCAAATTCTATTTCAATATAAACAAAGTCTTAGTAAACAATTTTCAGGCTGGGGGAAAGGCTCAAGTAGTAGAGTGCCTGCCTAGCAAGCACAAGGCCCTGAGTTCAAACCCTAGAACCACCAAGAGGAAAAAAGAGTGGGGGTGTACTGGTGGGAAGTGGGGGGGTGACAGTGTATGGAGGATGGACTTCATATACCTGTATGTAACGGAATTGGGAAACCTCTTGCAATTGCTTTAAATGGGGTAGGGAGGGGGTTGACGGAGAGAGACAATGGGGGTAATGAATATGTCCTAATAAAAATAATGAAATAGGAACACGATGATTTGAGACTTATTTAAATAAAAGACAGTATAGTGAATTACATTAATATTTAACATCACTTTCTCAGAACTATAAAATAAACTATTTTCAATGGATTCAAACATACTTTGGGAGGCAAAAATTACTAATTTGCCAAAAACAGTATAAGTCTGATATGATTTTCCTATCAACTAGTAAATCTTTTGCTTTAGAGAATTAAAGAACAAAGTAAAAACAAGAGATGAGGCTCCTGTAGAGGCTATGTTTCATTATCTGACTCATTATTTTTCTTTTTTATTATTAGTGCAAATTAATTACAGGAGGTTTCACTGTGATATTTCCATACATATACATAATGTACTTTGACTAAATTCATCTCCTCTATTACTTTCTTATCTTCCCTTCATGTTTTAAAATATCTTGAAATTTGTCACATCCCATAAAACTTAGTACTGCTATTTAGTATTCCCCTATCTCTTTACCAAACTACTTTATAAGCCATGGAAGTTTTTATTTTTTTGAGACAGGGTTTCACTATGTACCTCAGGGTGACCTGGAATTCATGATCCTCCTCCCTCGAGTGCTAGGATTACAGATGTGCACTCTTATTATGGAGTTTCTTATCATATACAGCATTTTACAATTAAAGAATTTCAATCTGCATTGAAAATGAGAAAGGTAGGGCCAGGTATGGTGGTACATGTCTATAATCCCAGTTACCATAGTAGGATCACAATTCCAGACCAACTGGGGCAAAGTTAGCAAAAATATCTCAAAAACAAACAAAGTGTGACAGGGCACACTATAATCCCAGATACTTGGGAGGCAGAAGTAAGAGAATCATGGTCTGAGGCTGGCCTAGGCCTATTTGAAAAGTAAATAAAGCAAAAAGGGGTGGGGGCATGGCTTGAGTGGTAGAGTGCTTGCTCAGCAAGTGCACAACCCTGAGTTCAAATCCTAGTGGAGAGAGAGAGAATATTTACTGAAGCAAAACATCAGCAAACAAAATAACGGTAGTTAATAGACATTAGCCAGAAACAGCTACCCAAGAGAAGGGATGGATATCCTACCATTTCTTGAAAAAGGGCTCAATTTTGGTCATGGATTTATTGACAGGGTACCAATTTGCTTTTACAGCAAAATTATCACTTTGCACTCTAAGGCAGTATATAATGCCCTGACACCTTGATATAGTAATTCCCAGAACCTTGGCTCATTGAGCTAACAGCAAAACTTTAATCATGTATTAGAAGTAGTTATATCTTACATCTCTATATAAATTCACCACCTTTTTGGGTCACTCTAAAATGACTGCCATCTAATAAGCAGTTATTGTCAGGGACTAGTAGGAGCAATTATCCCATCTGGGACTCAGTCTGGACATTATTAATGAATAACTGAAATACAAGCTTCAGTATCTTCTGATCTTATTCTCACAAATCTAGAGACTGGGCAATCTGCAAATCTTGATCAGGGTGCCATGCCTTGGTGTGACTGCTTCAGTGCTTTGGTTATCACAGCCTCCTAGGCTTAGAATTCAGACAGCCTCTGTCTGGCACTTGGTGTAATATAAAAGTCTCCTTTTCTTCCAATATATTTTTTACTTGAGAGTTGGCTTGGACTTACTATGTAGCTTAGGCTATCCTTGAGCTCACAATCCTCTTGCTTATACCTCCCAAGTGTTGGGATTGCAGGTGTGTATCATCACACCTGGCATGAAGATTTATACTTAATAGCCAGTTGTTATTTACAATGCTGGAATTTCAGGATTTTAAACGTTAATTTCCTAATTGAAATAAATACTTGAATACTTCATATCAAAAGCTATCATAAAGAGGAGGAATGCTCAAGATTCCACATTGTGGACAAACACAGACAGTGGGGCTAGTCACCAGCGTGACTGGCTAGGACCCTGCCTCAAGGACCATCTCTGACGTTTGGCCACTATCTTCTTTAGTTTGTTTTATACTTAACTCAGGGAATCCTTCCCTGGGTCCTCATCCATTTTGTTTTTCTGTGGACTCAAAAATAAATGTTCAACTACTTCATCATAAAAACCCTAGGACTGAGGATGTAGCTCAGTAGTAAAGTGCTTGCCAAGCATATGTGAGGCCCTAAGTTTGATGCCAGCACTGAAAAAACAAATTACTAATTAAAAGGGTATCAAGTAAAACCGTAATTTTTCTTCCTTAGCTTTAGCAATTTTGAATCTTTTAATCTTTAACACAGATCTTTTTTTGGGGGGTTGGGGGGCGGTACTGGAGTTTGAATTCAAGGCCTCATACTTGCTAGACAGGCGCCCTGGAGCCATGCCTCCAGCCCTAGAACTCATTTTTTTCTCCTATGACTACTTCTGTCATTTTTTTCAGGACTTTACCTCATTCTCTACATTTCTTTACACAAGTGGTGACTACAAAGACTAAATAAAAAGATGATTACCACTATCAATAACTATAATTATAGAAAACTTTAAAATGTAAATAAATTTTCAAGTCACTTACTTGATAAGGTTCTGGAAAGCATAACCATCTGTCCACTGTTCAGTAAAAGAGGCCCCATGCCGGACAGTAGTGAAGTGGCCCAATCTCAAGCGGTCCTGCATGCTCTTATCTCTACATGCCATCTTCTCTTGTTTTGACTTAGGGGAAAAAGAACCCCATCCCCCCAAAAAAAAAACCAAAAACAGGAATTCCGTATTATTAGCATGGAGAAAGACACTTCTTAGAAACTAAAAAATTCAAGATTATCAGGCAAAACACTATTGAAAAATTACATACTATCTCTGAACAGTCAGAAATGACTCCTTGGAAAACATTCCCACTCAAACAAAGTAGACATGATAGGGTAATGAGTAAGTGCAGGTTCTTCCTAAGTAAAGTTTCTCTGATCTATGTATCTTTGTTTCTCGTAAGCGTTCAGCATCTCATAATTAGACCAAAGCAATGATCAACTGCGGCATATCCCTATTTTCAGTTTCTTCTCCATCCAATCTAATATAGAGAACTGCTGGCAATTCATCTTCTCAAAACATCACTTTGCACATTTCCTATTTGATGCTCTAAATTTTCCATGGCTCTTTGCTACCAAACTTTGGATCCTAACATGAAAAAAGTTCACCACAGAGTTCTTATTCTAGGACATCTTATATACTCCTGATTCTTGAGCACATTATTCATTCAACATAGATTTATTAAAAACCAAGTTTATAACAAGGATTTTAAGGCTGTTAAAAATAGAACATGAGGAAAAACTGGTATCAACAACCTAAAGGGAAATATAACCACTAAATATGTGAATTTGTAATTATGAGTACAAATTATGAGAACGAACATGAAGAAAATAATAGAAGTACTATGACAGATAATACCACGGGATACCTGAGCTGCTCTGTGTATTTTTAACTGACAGGCAATTTATACCTGTAGTTTTCCTTGCCTAGAGCATATTTTTTTCTTGCAGCTTTCTCCCAATTAGTCCCCTGTCCTTGATTCCTCTACTGATTTCTTAGGAAATACACTGCTCACCTGAACAGGTTTCTTTGTGCATGTGAATATACCTTATTCCCTTGACCCCATTGTAGATTGTTGGCCTGCTGAGGGTACAGAAGTTGTATCACATTTCTTTGATTCTCTCATATTGTTACATATGAGGAAACCATTCATTCCTCTGCATTGCTGAGTAGTATTCCATTATGTGAACAAACCACAATTTGTTTACACATTCATCTGTTGCAGGCCACCTGGGACATTTCTGGGTTTCAGCTACTGTGAATAAAATTGCTATGAATTTTTTTGTACAAGTCTTTCTGTGAACATCTGCTTTCATTTCTCTTGGGCAAATATCAGAAACAAAATTGCTAAGTCATTTACTAAGATAAGTATACCTTAGTAAGAAGCTTTCAAAAACATCTGTACCACCTTATATTCCCACCAGTATGAGAAACCGGGCAACCAACAGGGCTATGCCAGCACTTGGCACTGTCAGTGGTTTACTCTGCTCATTCCCCTGGGTACATAATGGTATTTCCTTGTTGTTTTACCTTGAGTTTCCCTGATGCCTAATGATGCTGAGCAATTTTTTTTATACACTGGCCACTGCATATCTTTATATGCCTTTTTTAAAATTAAAATGTCCATTTATGATATTTTGTTGATTTTTTAATGTTTCTTAATTGTTAAGTTATAGGAGTCTATGTATTTTTAATACAAATCCATTGAGAGAGAACATTGTGAATCTGTTTTCTCTGAATCTATGGTAGTATTTTCATCTACGTTCTTTTACATTCCATCATGGTATATCAGATATTCAATAAATATTTCATATTTAGAAAACTGAACTATTTTGGAAACAAATATAAATTTTATTATGTGTTAATTCTAACTAGAAAACTCTAAGAAGAAAAAAGAAAAAACTAGAAAATTCTATTTTTCTATGAAAACTCAAAAAGACAGCATGATGTTTACTTTTTGTGTCATAGTGTTCAGTTTAGTACAACTGAATCAATCTATGTTGACTCCAGGAAATATTCTAAAATTTGAAATAAATGTTCTATAATAGCCTATGCTATATTATTTAGCTTTATTATTTTTTATTCTTTCTTTATTATTTCTTACTCTCATAAAAAGGGAAACCAAAGTGGTTTTCCTTTTTCTTTAATTAATGATTTTAAAAAATGAAGCAAAGTTCCTCCTAGTATCTTTAACAATCTTTAATCCATTTTGCTTTCACTGAAAAGATAAAGCTCCTTGTCTTTTTAACAGCATTCCAAAAATTATAGGAAAAGTAACTACTAGTGTGTCTCAAACATCTAGCTTGCAATCTTATAATAATAATTTCTTTAGGAAATACTGCCATTTTAAAACTTCCAAGAAATACTTACTAATGACTATTTATGAAAGGGAAGCTGCAACTAACCAATGACTATAATAAAGTAGACATCAGTCAATTAATTGTGTATAGGTATATGACAATTTTATGTTTTTGAAGCACAAAGCACTTAAGTGTCACATTATTATACACATAAGGTACTCCAAATACCATCTCTAAAATGGAAATATAATTATTGACAAGTGTCTGTAATCATAATAAGTATATTCACTTCAACTGATAGGATGGATGTGAGAACTTAGAATAGCAACACCTGACATGGGCGCCAGTGGCTCATGCTTATAATCCTAGCTACCTGGGAGGCTGAGATAAGGAGAATTGAGGTTCAAGGCTGGCCAGGGAAAATGGTTCATGAGACCGCATCTCCAAAAGTAGCCAGAGAAAAATGGGCTGGAGGTGTGGTTCAAGTGGTGGAGTGCCTGCTATGCAAGCACGAAGCCCTGAGTTCAAACAGTAGTACCACCCAAAAAAAACAAGAGCAACACCTGGGCTGGGACTATGGGCCAATGGTAGAAGAGTACCTGCCCTGGTTTCGAGGAGGTGGTGGAGAGTGCACAAGAACATGCATGCATGCACACACACAAACTCCCAACGAAGTCACCTAGGATAAGCTGTCAACCCTACACTCAAAGCAACGAATAGCCAGAAAGCACGTCCTACATTTTTACCCTGGAGGCTTATACTGGTGTCCCAGCAAGGACACCAGTGTCCTTGTCAAGTAGCAAGAAATCTTTTCCTAAAAAGCACTACTTTAAAATATTTCCAGCTCAGTTAGTTAAGGAATCACCACATATTGAACCCTTTGGGACACAGAGTTCAGGTCACCATTATTCACCAACCTTTTCTATAAGGAGTTTCTTGCTCATTGTGACACATCTATTTAATCGTTCCTTGTATTTCTCTAGCATCTTTTGCTGTTCATCAATCTGCCGCCTCAAATCGCAGTTAGCCTTCAATGGAAAAATATTTTTAAAATTAGTTCCAAAGAAGATAAACAGAAAAACAGTTTCTGGAGAGAGAGAGAAAAATTGTTTCTAGCTCTTATTACATCAAAGTAAAATTTAGATTCAAAGAGGTTAGAATAAGCATGGTCTTATAAAACATAAATAGTTCATCCCTTAAATATTACATATTTATCAAAAATGAATTCTTCTGTTCCTAGAAGTAGGAATATTTTTCTACTGATCAAAAAATATTTTGCTCTTCACAATAATCAAGTTACATCTAATCTTATGTCTATCAGAGTGCCTAAACTCTCATAAAATAGGGTAAATTTTAGACAAATTTAAAATGAATGTTTAAAATACACACAAAGGGTGATTAAGCACTTACAAAACAATCAGATTTTTTCTAAACCACATAATATGCTTTATGTTCTATTTATTCTTTATTTTTTTTAGCTCATTTTTAAAGAAAAAAGCAAAGTAAATTTTCATAAATGATTTTCACTAGAGAAGCCAGGCACACCCATGCCCACACAACTAACAAGCAAGGCCCTACATTGCCAGAATGTAAATACACAGTTAATTTAGCTGTGATCAGAAGCCTAGAGGATAGGCTAAATGCTCTGCAAACTTCAAGCTTCCTACAATAACAAAGAGGGAAAGAACCACTAACCCAAGGTCAAATTTGGCTTGTACTAGTGAATTTATTCTTTTCGTATTAAACAAAAGAAAATAATACTACTACTCTTATAATTATATAATAATACTCATAATAATACTACTCTTGGAAAATAATACTACTTTATACTAACTTCCCTGTGACTGAAAAAAAACTGTTATTTCCTAATCTAACAATAGAAGCATTTCTGAGCCGATAAAAAGCACAAACAGAAGATATTACAAGACACTCAACTTTTGATGTTTTCTGGGGTTTTTTTTGGCAGCACTGGGGTTTGAACTCAGGGCCTTACACTTGCTAGGCTCTACCACTTGAGCCATGCCTCCAGCCCTTTAGTTTCTTTCATTTGTTTTTGGGTGGTACTGCAGTTTGAACTAAAGGCCTGGCAAGGGCTCTGACACTTACATCACACCGCCAGCCCTTTTCATTTATGGGTTATTTATTTAGATAAGGTCTTGTGCTTTTGCCCAGAACCAGCCTAAGCCATGATCCACCTACCTATGCCCTTCAGTGTACTGACATGGGGAGATGGGCACAGGTGCATGCCCCACACCTAACTCATTTGATGAGATGGGGTCTTGACAACTTTTTGCCTGGGGTACTGTGATCTTCTAATCTCCACCTCCCAAGAAGCTGGGATTATAATTGTGAGCCACAGCACGCAGCACAGCTTCATTTTTAAAGTAACTGGTATGAAGCAGCTTTCTGCCTCCAAATGTTTCTACCCTCCACATAAGCATAATTCTTCCTATTAGTTTTTCTTACAGAGTCCTAAAGACCACATTATCAAAGGCAAAGTATAACTACTTTGGGCAAAACTAACTCATACTGAAGAACTATACCCAAAGACCATGTATAATCCAATCTACTTTTGGAAGGTGAGTGTTTCCTCAAAATCAATAATGAAATATATAGAATCAATCATCCCCTGGCAGTTTAAAGTTCTAAGACTTCTAAATTATTATGGTTTCTAACCCTAATGACTTCTAGGAGTTCATGTTTAAAGTAGGAGCAGACTAATAGTTCCCAATGCAACCATACCTAACATCTCACTAAAATAAGAAAAACTCAATGACTAACTCTTGCCTGACTAAAAGGAAATATGAAAACCAGTAGTCTTTCCTCAATATGCTAGCTTCCAGATCAGAAAACAGGTATGGTTCTGCTAGGTGTAGAGGCACACGTCTTTAATTCCAGCACTCAGAAGGCTCAGGCAGGATTATCAGGAGAGGGCAGCCTAGGCTATATACTGAGACACTGTCTCAAAAACACACAGGGCTGACGGCATGGCCTAAATGGTAGAGTACCTACCTAGCAAGTGCAAGGCCCTGAGTTCAAACCCCAGTACTGCCAAACACACACACACACAACCCCTGAGTTCTAATCAACTTGAAAAAATGGCAGGTGCCCATTTGGATCTTCTTGACGTATTCGTTCCCTCTATACCCATGGAAAAACTACCAGTGGAGTAGGGTCTCAGCTCCTACTAGCTCAGTGGCAGAACACATGCTTAGTATGCATGAAGCCCTGGAGGGAGGGAGGGAGGGAGGGAGGGAGACAGAGAGACAGAGAGAGAGAGAGAGAGAGAGAGAGAGAGAGAGAGAGAGGGGAGGAGAGGGATGGGGAGGGGTGGGGTGGGGAGGGTGGGGAGGGAGAGGAGAGAGATGGGGAGGGGTAGGGTGGGGAGGGGAGGAGAGAGATGGGGAGGGGTGGGGTGGGGAGGGGAGGAGGGAATAAACAATGAAGTACAGAAGGGTGGGCTTTCTAGAAAATCGAAGCAAAAACATCTTTTTTTTTTTAAAAAACCCAAGAAGCAATATCAAGTTAGGATTTAAGTTTTTCACCATAACCATCTTCTCAATTCCCCCCTGCCCTGGTGCTGGGGCTCACACATTGCTAAGCAAGCACTCTACCATTGAGCTATACCCTCATCCCCATCATTTTCACTTTAAAAGAGTACAAAAATGAAGAAGGAAGATAAAAGCACAAACCTTACTGGGTGCAGAAAGCTACTCTGGAAAAAACCCTACCAGATACTAGAATAAGGCTAGGAGTCTTTTAAACCCACAGGCAATCTCATAAATCTAAGATGGCAATTCAACCAGCAAATCTATAAATACAAGACCAAGACCAACTCCCAGCAAGGGTATACAGAAACATGAAGAAGCAAGACAGATACCAAGTCTACACATGGCTCTCCTTATTCAAAGACAGAGAAAAGGAAATACCAAACTAATTTTAAAAAATAGACCTAAGGAATGTATGTCTGAATAATGAAAGGGAACATCAGCTTGAAAACAAAGCAAATGATCTCCTTCATAAATAAAAAGGGTATTTGAGAATCCTACTTGGCATGCTCCACAAAATGCAAAAGACATACTTATTAAAAATATATGGAATGGGATAAGAAAGTATATCATGTAAGGGGGAAAAAAAAAATCAAGTAACAAAGCCCCATATATACCATAATCAAAATTCACACGAGCTACAAGTAAATAGCAAAAACCATACGGAAGACAACAATGTTGAGGAAGAGTCAAAAGAAAAGGGCAATAATATTAAAATGAAATAGAAAATATTAGATGTGTAAAAAAATCAGATATCCAAGTTAGGAATGAAGCCAGGGGGAAAGGCCACAATTAAGCATAATCACAAATTTTCAGAATAAAAATATTGAGACCCACATATAAGTGTCCCCTGGTAAAATTTAACAGATTATTATGTAACTTGATCCTTTTATCATGGGCTTCTATATAACATTAAATGACAGAAAATTTAAAAGTGTGTGTATGGAGAGAGGGGGGTTATTTGGGAAAAAGAAGACAGTGTTCCCTTTCATTTGGGAGGACAAAGTAAAGAATTCTCAGCTCTGTAAAGGCAAAGAAAATTTAACACTGACACAGACTTTCCTGAAAAATAATTACTTAAAAATGGAATCCAGTCAATCAAGAGATGAAACAAAATGACAAAAGCTCTGAAAACATAAAAAATACACACTGTCAATGAGCTATGAACAGATTTTTACAAATGTGGACATAAAGCTGCCTACAAATATAAGAAATAATTCTATATAAAATGTTACAAATAATGCTTTAATGTTAATGAAAAACATAACAGAATTTACTAATAAAGATGACACTTATGGCTTGTTATATGCTAAATTTCAGGTGTTATATAAGGAGCAAAAATACACTATTTTATACTATATTTTATTAATTAGATAAATACAAGTAAAACTTTTTTAGAGAGCAGATAAACACAAAGTGGTTTTTATTATTTTTATTACTAAACATCTCTTCATTCAAATAAAATCATACTCAGAAGTCCAATTTAAAAAAATTAATTAAAAAGAAAACCAGACAAGGACTAGCAACATGACTCAAGTGGTAAGAATGCTTGCCACCATATGGGAGGCCATGGATTCAATAACCAGCACCAAAAAAAAAAAAAAAAAAAAACCCTGATAAAAACAAGATTGCTAATGCTTACCCTAGTATATCACGGCAGCTCTAGAAGTTGCAGGCGCCCTCTGGAGCCAGTTGGAAACAACCACATTAATACAAATAAGGGTCAAACCTATACTTCTTGCCAGGTGCCAGTGGCTCACGCCTGTAATCCTAGCTACTCAGGGGACAGAGATCAAAAGGATCGCGGTCTGAAGCCAGCCCCCCTGGGCAATTAGTTTGCGAGACTCTTATCTCGAAAATACCTAACACAAAAAGGGCTGGTGGAGTGATTCAAGGTGTAGGACCTGAGTTCAAGCCCTAGTACTGCAAAGAACAAACAACCAAACAAAAAACTATAAAAAAAAAAATATATATATATATATAATTTATTTATTTTGTGGTACTGAGGTTTGACTCAGTGTCTTGTATTTGTGAGGCAGGTGCTCTACTGCTTGAGCCACTCCACCAGCCCAAACCTATCCCTTCTAAACCAATGGAGACGGTAAAAATGTGAGCCAATTTTATCTAGAAATCAGTAATATTTACATATGTGTATACATTTGTGTATATACTATGAACAGATCAAAAAATTACTGCAGGAAAATGTACCAATGTTTTATATCAGTTAGTCTGTATTCTCTAAATTATAAAGAACACGTGTAACTTGTATAATAGGAAAACAATAAATTTTTACTTTTTTTAAATAAAACTGTGGGTCAATAATAACAAACTACATATTCAAAATATATTTTTAGAATATCCTGGGAAGCCAGATATGGTGGTACACACCTGTAATCCCAGCTAAATGAGAGGCAGAAGCAGGAAGATTAAGAGTTTGAGGCCAGCCCAGGCAAAAAGGTAAGAAGACCCTGTGTCAAAAACAAGAAAAAAGCCAAGTGTAATAACTCACAGCTGTAATCCCAGTTATTCAGGAGATGGAGACTGGGAGGACCTCACGATTCCGGGCCAACCTCGGCAAAAAGGCCTCATCAAAATAAATAAACTAGGTGTATAATGGCACACATTTGTAATCCCATCTATGTGAGCTACATAGATAGGAAGACTGCAGTCAAAGGCTGGCCCAGGCAAAAAAGCATGAGACCCTATCTAAAAAATAAAGAAAAAAAAAAAAAGAAAAGGCTGGAGTTAGAGGGGCGCATCAGGGCTCCAGTGGTACAGTGTTTGCAAGCAAGTACAATACCATGAGTTCAAACCCCAGTACTGACAATTTTAAAAAAATAAAAAGGGGGAGGGGAGCTCAAGTGGTAGACCACTTTTCTAGTATGTGCCCTAGGTCAATCCCCAGTTCTTCAGGGTGGGGACTCCTGAGAGCCAGGTGTGGCCATGTACACCTATAATTACACTTAATTATTATCCCAACACTCAGGAAGCTGTGATATTAGGACCATGCATTTGAAGCCAGACTGGACTACACAGTAAGACCCACCTCAAAAACAGAACAAAACTCAGTATAGTTTCTAGAAGTATCTTTCAAACTTATGACTAGGTATTCTGAAGTTTGTTTTAGAAGCACAAAAAAATTTTAGATGAACAGAAGATAAAAGACACAAAACGCAAAATGGGCTGAAAAGTCCTTGTTTAACTAGTTTTTAAAATATAAGAATATAGGGCTATAACTCAGTGAGCGGTTGTGTAGCATGTATAAGACCCTGGGTTTGATCTTCAGCAAGAAAACAAAATGAATTTAAAAATAACTACTCTGAAATGAAAAAACATTTTATAGTTAATCTCACAGTTCTAGACAAAATAAAACCCTCATGTACCCAGTATAAATTAAGTATTGATAGAACGCAATATAAGATTTCCAACCCCAAAACAGTGGTAGGAATGTAGGTATGATCCTAGTTCCTACTCTTGATTCCCTCAGACTAAAGGAAAATATCAAATGTTTATCATTTAACAGTGTTATCTGGCTTAGTAATTATTTCTATGATATGCACAAAATCCAAATATACATAGCTGGTGCTTTTTATAAAATGTCTTATACTTTAATACTTACTCTTAATAAATCATCTATTCTTCCTTCCTTCTTCTCTAAGTCAGAATTCTTACTGTTTTCTAGTGCAGATATTTTTTCTATCGTGAGGTCAGACTACAAAGACAAAGGCAAAACAAATTTAGATTAGTTGCAAAGTATTACATGTCATCGCATGTTTCTCATTACTTTTCTGAAAAAAAAGGACCTGCTAACATAAACAGCCTGGAATAGCTCAGGAAATTAAATCTGCTTTCCTCATCCCATTCCTTATATTCCACTACACTTGCGCTTCATAAATATGTTAGTTCTAAATTCAAATATACAGATTCTCAAACTACCGTGCATTGAACAATACAGAAACACTGAACTCTGGAAATGAAACTTTTAATAGAAATGGAGACATAACCCAAATCTTCTAAGGAACAAACATGCCATCTAGTGGAAACAGGGAGAAATCAGAAGGGAAGAAATGAAGTTTTCTGAATGCTCAACTATTTGAGTCTATTCAACTGTCCAAATGCTAGCGGTTCAAATAAAATTAAAACCTACTCCAGAAGTGTGTATGGCTCTTGAGACTTAAGAAACTTTAGATTGTCAAGCATTCTGTGTTGAAGGCAATGCAGACAGTGACAAAAGAAGCTGCAAGAACGGCCAGCATATAATTGGCTAGCTCAGCACTACAAATGAAGGACATAGAACTATTCTTTTCAGATGTAACTTTTCCTCTGCCCCTTTTCTCTTTCTTTCTGTCTTGAGACAAGGTCTGTCTATATAAATCCAGGCTGGCCTCAAACTGGAGATTCACCTGCCTCAGCTTGCCATGCTGAGATTACAGTGTGTGCCACTACACCTGGCTCTCAAAAACAACTTCTTTTTCTTCTTTTTTTTTTTTTATTTGGGGGGTGGGGAGGGAGGGACAGTGGGTGGGTAAGGTCTCACTATGTAACTTAGGCTGGTCTAGAGCTCGCCAAGTAGCCCTGACTAGAGTCGAACTTGCAATCCTCCTGCCTCGGCCTTAAGAGTGGTAAGATAACAGGCGTGCACCACCACATCTGACTCAGATATAGCTTAAATGTTCACACCGTTCCCTAAATTAGGAAGTTTCTGAATATGTTAGTGTATAGTATGTTAAAGTAGTTTAGCTAGTTTTTGCCAAATAAGCAAGCGGGTACAAGGAATAAGTTAATTAATTACTTTCATAAAGCAAGGAATTAATGTTTTCCTGAAAGCTTACTGTAAACATTGCCCTAACAAGCATTTTGTAATTAAAAATGACTATGTCTGAGGTAATTAGAAGAAACAACTACGTTTTTACGGATGGTTTCTACTAAAAAAAATTTAAAAAACAAAACAGATGGTTTCTACTAAAGAAAACTGAGGTCCAGAAAGATAAAGTGTAAGAGACAGAGACAGAATTTGAACCCAGGCCCAGAGGTCTTCACAGTGTGTGCTCTTTCCTCAACACCATGCTGCACTGTAAGTGTATCTCCTACAATACACAAGAAAATGTAAAGAAAAGCTTCAATCAACTAAAGCACCTTCCAAAGGACTTTAAACACTCATCATGCACGTCTGGAATATGATACACATGAATAATGAGGTCTAATCATAGAAACAAAGACCAAGAGGGGAATCACAGACTTTCTATATCACTAGGTCTACTCCTGAGCAGAGCTCCACTATTCATGGACCCCCCTCAACCTACCTGGGTCTGTCTGTGCTGGATGGAGATCTGTTTTTGGGAGCTGCAGGAATGCTCTGTGTTGCCAGATCCTGTAGAAGAGGGACTGTTTTGCTGAGCCTATAATAAAGGTACATCACCAATCACAGGAAGGTTTTGCATCTGTCTCTGAAAACATTTGTATGAATGATAACAATTACCTCCATAAAAAACAAACCCTTCTGATGAAAGCCAAAAGTCACAACCAAAATGGAAATAAAACAAGTCAAATATGAGACATAAGACTAGATATAGTGGCTTAGACCATGTTTTTGTAAGTAGGTTTTCAAATGTGTGCAAATTATTTTAATAAATAAATTAGAGAAAGGAGTTATTCCTATAATTTTTTTCCACTTATGTTTCAATGTGCTTTTGTCAGAAAAGGTGAGTGAAGCATCCAATACACAAGGAATACACAAGTCCAAGCAGACAGGACAGTTAACCATTATTCAGAATAGTATCCTAAACATGCAAATCTTATCAATAAACACACAGTGATCTAAAACCCCAGGTTGAGGAATATGGGCATAGCTCAAGTAGTAGAGCTCAAGGCCCTCAGCTCAACCCCAGTCCTGCAAAAAACAAACAAACAAATAAACAAAAATATTAGTCTGATCTATAATATTAGCATTAGCTAACTTAGTATTCTAAGGCATTTTTTTAAGTTAATTTATTTTTTTATTTAATTTTTCAATTTATTTATTTACTTATTGGCAACACTAGAGACCAAACCCAGGGCACTGTAGGCAAGTGCTCTGCCACTGAGTCACACCCCCAGCCTAAGGTATTTAATTTTTAATTAATTAAACTTTTAATTTAAAAATGTTTTCTGCAGTACTGGGGATTCAACTTAGTGCCTTGAAGCACTGTATCACTTGAACCACACCCAACCCTTCTACGTTTTAGGTTTTCAGCTAGCGTCTCAAGTTTTGCAGACGCCAGCCTCAGACCACAGTCCTCAGGCAGCTGGGATTACAGGTGTGAGCCAGCACATCCAGTTGACATTTTAAAATGTATGTGATTTAAGTTTAACTAATTCAACTATTCAGGAATATACTCACAAGAGTCCTTTAATAATAAGGTACAATTGTACCTAATACGGTATGCTCATCAAGGCCGTAACTAGGAAATGCTAAATATTCTAAGGATTATAGGACAATGGAAACACAGTCCTACTATCTCCTCAGAGAATGAGTGTTTCCCAACATGTAATATTAGGGGTTTAGGGTATAATCTACAGCAGAATGCATGGTTACCAAACAGGAGGCCTTAAGTTTGATCCAAAGGAGGGAGGAAGGAATTTTTTCACACTTTCTATACATTTCTTTTATTACTGTTCTTACTCATTAGCATATTAACAATGGTCTAACCATCATTTATTGCACAATTACTCCAAGTTAAATGCTTCAATGTCATTGTTACCTGTAACTCTTATTTTAAAAAAATGCTATAAAGTGGCTATTATTATTTATATTTTACAGGTAAAGAAAATATGTCAGAGACATTAAACATCTATACAAGGTCACAGAACTACTAAGCAAGGCAATTAGAACTGGGGGCTATGTGCATCTGCAATGACTGCTCTCAATGACCAGAACACTGTTTCTACCAGGCTGTGAGCAAACTAAGGAGTTCATATGCATGATTTCACTGAAGGATCACTATAACCCTGTAAGGTAGGCAATATTACTAACTCCATCTTTTTGTTTTGTTTTTTGAGATAGTCTTTTATAGTTCCTAGGCTAGCCTAGAACTCTGGATCCTTCTGCTTCTCCCTCCCAAGTGCTGGGATTACAGGTGTGAACTACCATGCCTGGTCTACTAACTCCACTTTTATGTATTCATGGAGTAAATTCTTACTGAGTACTCTAATGTCTAAACATTATGTTAATGGCCTCGTGAAACAAGCACAAACCACCCTACTTTGTCTTAATGAAACTGACAATTCAAGAGAATTTTGTTTTATTTTTGGTGGTAATGGGTTTTAAATCAAGGCTTTGTGCTTGCTAGGCAGGCACTCTACCACTTGAGCTATGCATCCAGCTCAAGAAAATTTTATTAAGCACTCAAGATTTGTGTATGATGAATGAACACAAAATTACAACCAGGAGAGGGACACTAAGAGCATATAACAGTACATAATCTACAGTCAGAGAAACTTGAAAAAAATTAAGATTTGATGGTTATCAAGGTCAAAGATAAGAGACTGATGAGAGGTTTAGAGAAGTCAAGAGAAGAATCAAACTCAAACAGGCTGTTAAACAACCTGAACAGTCCGTTCAGTGGCATAACTACCCTTAAAAATCAGGTCTGTGTGATTCCAAATAGCTAAAAATTTTCTGCACCCTTTCTAAATGCAGTAAATCCCACCTTTTCTTATTAATTAAGGGTCATTATTAGGAACCGTCAGTATTTTTCTACACATAACACAGCATTGGTCCTTTCAGTCATTATTAGATAGCTCTTATGACTGATTGTCTGAAATGCATAAGAACTAAGAAGAATCAAGTTACTAAAAGGCTCTTCTATAAGTTTCTAGATTTGAACAGATTGTCTTTAATAATTTTTTTTATATGTGCTTATTTCAAATTTGATGAAATTTGAAAAAGGAGGGTGCCAGAAGGTGGGATGTTTCTTAATTAAAGCCTTCTGTAAAAATACACAGAGAAATGCCTTGATGATAAGGAAGTAAATATGTAAATAAGAGGGTCACTGTTATGAAATAGCAAATCCAAATGAAAATAATGCTTACAGATAAAAGGTACTATACAATGTAAGGATCCATCTGACAACATGAGTTCATGGTAGAAAACAACGCTCATTCAGTACTCATTGTGGGTCTCTGTGCATGGTTGTGGTTAAACATCAGAAATGTAAAGCTGAAGGACAATGAGAGCCAACAAGTCAGTGGTTATAAAGAAAAGTTCAGGGCAAGGAGAACACAATCCACCTGGCTCATCAGGAGGGCCATAACAGTTGTAAATTAAGTCCAACCCCAACCTCCTCAGATTGCTATACTCTTTGTTCCTATTACAAAAGTAACATTATCCTAATTCCTGATTACAAGCTGGATCTCCAAGTTTTTTAAAATATATTTACTTATTTTAATTTTTCGGTGCTGAGGACTGAACTCAGGACCTATCACATGTTAAGCACACATACTAACACTGACAAGCCAGAGAATTTCAAAAATGAAATCGTAATAGCATAAGAAACAAGGGAGTGTCGGGGCCAGAACACTTTGGGTTTCTTTGAGACAGGGTCTCACAACATGGCCTGGAACTCAATATGTAGCCCAGAGTAGCCTCAAACTCAAAATCCTCCTGCATCAGCCTCCCCCACCCAACAGTGCTGGGATTAATAGAAATAATCACACCTAGATTTAAGAAGAAAAAAATTTTAATAACTTTAAATTTTAAGAAATATTCAAAAGTAGTTAGGATCAAAGTGATAGAGAAAGAAATTTGTAGTTCAAAACATCAGCAGTAAAAACAAGCTGGGTCTTCCCAAGGGAGCTCTTCCAAAGCTCTAAGCTGAGATTTACATATATAAAAGTCCTTAATGACCATGGGATAATGATTGGTGATTAAAAATCTATACTGCCAAAAGAACCTCTTTGGTTCCCCTTGTATACTAAGTATGGGACCTAGATTCTATTGCTTTTGGCCACAGTATAAAACACTAAAACAGATTTCTTAAGTCTTCTTCTGCCAGGCAGAAGACGGGCACTGATGGCTCACACTTGTAATCCCAGCTACTTCAGAGGCTGAGATTGGGAGTATCACAGTTAGAGGCCAGTCTGGCCAAATAGTTCGAGAATCTCATCTCCAAAATACCCAGAGCAAAATGGACTGCAGGTGTGGCTTAAGCAACAGAATATCTGCTTTGCAAGTGCAAAGACCTGTGTTCTAATCCAGTCCCACCAAAAAAAAAAAAAAAGAGAGAATAAAACCAATTCCAGCACATAGACATCTAAGGCAAATTCCAATTTCGAGGCCAGCCTGGGCTGTATAGCAAAACCTGTCTCAAAATAAAATCAAACAACAAATATATAAATACTAAAAAAAACAAGGATAAATGGGCCCAGGGGAGAATTCCTAATATAGGTATTATAGCTTAAAGGGGGACAAAACCAATAAAGAGTAACTTCTGCCCTCTACAACTACTGATATGATAGAAGAACAAACAGAATGCACTTCAAAAAGAGAAAAAGGCAGGGCATGGTGGCATCCACCCATATCTCCAGCACTCAGGACACTGAGGCAGGAAGAATGCTATCTCAAGACCAGCGAGACCCTGTCTCAAAAGACAAAAAAAAAAAACAAAAAAAAACACCAGCTGTAGAAGAGCTGGTTATCCTGTCTACAGCTTTCTAAACACCTGCAGAAAAACATCCAACTCTACCACCATTCCTGTGGGGGAGAGTTATACGGAAAAACAGTACTAAGCTACCAAAGAAAATTCATGCCAACAACCTATACCAATTAGCCTAGTCTATTATTCAACTAAAGCTAAATATATATTTTCAAGAAAACTAACAGTCAGGTACTTCCGGCTTAGACCTGTAAAAATACCTACTCAGAAGGCAGAAATTGGAAGGATCACAGTTTGAGGACAGCCTGGGCAAAAAGTCTGTGAGATACCATCTCAGCTGAAAAAGTTGGGTGTAGTGGTACACACTTATCATTCTAGCTACTGTGGAAAGCATAAACAGGAGGATTACAGTCCAGGCCAGCCCAGAGGAAAGAGCAAGACCCTATCTCAAAAATAACCAGAACACATAGGGGTGGAAGAGTAGCTTAAGCAGTAGAGCACCTGCCTAACAAGTGTGAGGCCCTGAGTTCAAACCCCAGTACTATCAAAAAATAAAAATAAATAAAAGAAAACCAACAGCACAGAAGATCAAAAATGAAAATCAAAACATGATTACAGAGGAAAAAGATAATTGAATAAAAAATAAACTTTAAGCCAGGCATCAGTGGCTCACGCCTATAATCGTAGCTATTCAGGAGGTAGAGTTCAGGAGGATCACGGTTCAAAGCCAGCCCAGGCAAATAGTTCTCAAGACCCTATCTCGAAAA